TATATTCCCGACTCATTTTGCAGATGTTGGCAGTAATTTATCATATTTGTCCCTCCGATCATGAAGATTTGTTTGTATAAAATGGCTTCTGGCAATTGAATTGGAAGAAAATCCATCTATGGCAGCTAACTTTGAAATCTCTTCTTCCATAGATTTCTTTGTTTTCCATTTTCTTGCCATATTCACAGGAAACTGGTTTTCATTTTGATTTATGTTGATTTGACGAATTTTCTTCAAATGCAAGGTCAGAGACATGGTAGATCCTCCAGAAGACTTCATGGTCTTCTCACACTTCATACATTGAGCTTCATCTTTGTTTTTTTTCATACGAAAAAATTTCACACAGTTAATTTTCTTTTTATCATGTTAGGGCTGATGAAAATGAAAAGTAAAACTATAAAACTTATCGCTCTATAAAAACTATTGTAAAATAAAGAAAATTTAGTTAGTGTTGCTTCCTTGAAATAAATCTGGAACTGGTTATTACATATACAGGAAAGATCACCTGACTTAACACTAACTACATTCCCTTGGTCTGCTATGAATAAAGTCTGTAACCTTCAAATTCTAGGAGTTGGTGAGGGGTTAGGGAAACAAATGACAAGGCATTGATCTAAGGTATCAGGAAGGTGAAAATTGATATTTTGCTGTTTCAATGAAATAGACAGCACTCAGCTACCTAAAGACTAACTGCAGTTACAATATTTCTTCAAAGAAAGAGAGGAAAAAAAAGAAAGAGAGGAAAAAAAAAGAAAGAGGAAAAAAAGAAAGAAAAGAGAAAGAGAGAGAGAAAGAGAGAAATGTTTCACAGAAAGCAGAAACTACAAACATTAAAATTGGTTTTGTTGATCATCATATGAAAACCGGTGTTATAAAATCGGTTTCAAGCCCTAGTCCCCATATATTCATATTATGTCAATTACAAGAAAATAAAAAGAAATTTGTAAAAAGTAAATATAAATAATCAACTTGTCTGTCAACTTTTGACAATGTATTTGTATGCCCATTAGGTTCCAAAAATGCTGTTAAATTGACATCATAGAGATTGTCCACTAAAGATCTGACACATATGGTAACATCATTATTCTCATCTGAATCCATCAGTTCATCAATATATAATATAATACCTGATTAATTTTGTTTGTTTTTTTTTTCTTTGAATTCTAGAAAAACCTGGGCTATACATCTCTCAAATAAATGCTCTGAATCACTAAACTCCATTTTATTGTGATGCTTGATTTCTTGTCATCAAGAAAAGATTTTAAACTTGTATTTTCTTCGTTAAACAAACAAAATAGCATGTGTTCAAAGTCTTACTATTTGCATGACTTCCTACATTATTTGCAATGATGTCCTATTTTATATTAGAGTATACATGGGGCAGGTTGAATATTGAGAGCCAATATTTCAGTTAGTTATGTGCCAGGCATGATATACGCATAAGTGATTACGTATCTTTTGATACATGACTCACACAAGGCAGATATTTTTTTTTTCCCCACTGCAGTAGGTTGCCATTTCTTTCTGCGGTAGACCAGTTACCATCCAAGGCTATAGAACCCAATCTGTCCTGCTATTTACACATAGTTGGGGGAAAAAGAAGAGGATACATACATTTCCCAAGGGTATTAGCACGTAAGTGAATGTAATGAATTCAACTGGAATTTGAACTCAGCTCTCTGATTCCTCAATCCAAGCCGCTACCCATTACTCCACCGTGCCTCCTCAATACTCAAGGGCAAAGAGAAAACTAGTTCAAACCTTAAATTCTTGAAACTTTTGCATCTTTTTTTTGTATTTTTCTTTTTAAATTGAAGTGGTTGTGCAATTTCTTTAAAACTTCCAAACTGAAACTAAGGTTAAATAATTTAAATAGAATTAATAACATTTAAAAGCTACAAAAAAATAAAATAAATAAAAAAAAAAAAAATAAAATAAATTAAAAAAAAAAATAAAAAAAAAAAAAAAAAAATAAAAAAAAAAAATAAAAAAAAAAAATAAAAAAAAAAAAAAAAAAATAAAAAAATAAAATAAAATAAATAAAAAAAATAAAAAAATGTGTGTTTGGGTTGGAGGGGGGAGGGGGAAACAGAAAAATGACTAGAAATTTAGGAGAAACATTGTTAAGGACCCAATGTGACTTCATACTCATTTACAAAAGAATCAAACAAATTGAATTCCCAACCTTTTTATTTTCACTGAAATTTCTGATTCAATTTGGATTTTTTCTTTTATTTTCAGAAAAATAAAACTGTTGCAAACAAATATTTTTATGCTTCTTTTGTTGTCTGTGAAAACTGGAAAAAAAAAATAAATAAAAAAAAGATAAAATAAATTTTTTTTTCATTTTTAAAGTTGACTTGCTGAGGACCTTCAGTGAATACAGCCCCCACCAGCTCTAGACACCACTCAATAAGCAAATTCAAGAGCAATGAAGTTGTTTCCTAACATTTGTTAATATTTTCTCCATTACACTCTTTTTATAGTTGACTTACTGGCAACCTTCAATGAATGCAAAATAAAAGAAAAGTGGCTAAATACTTTTTTATTTTTTTTCATTTTTATTTTTTTTTTAAGAAAAGCAAGAAATTCAAGTTAAATGATAACAATGATGAACAAAAAGCTACAAATAGAAACAGTTTCTTTCAAAACTGCAATATTAAGAAATGCAATTGTCAGCAAATCTTTTTAAATTAATATTTTTGCTCTGTATGTTCCTAATACTTAGCAATAAAATGAAAAATCTTTACTCACAATATGTGAAAAAAAGAAAAAAAAAAGAAAAAAAAAACATCACAAACACATTTCAGCTTTAAAATATAGAAAACAATGAAAGTGAAAATATTTAGAGCTAAATTTAAATTATTTTTTGTAAAAAAAAAGAATTTTTTTTCCTTATTTTTCAAAATTAAAACTAATATTTCTTCTGAAGTTTCATCTAATAAAAATAAAAAAAGCATCTTTTGTGTTTGTAAAAATGATGCAGAGAGAAAAAAAAGTAGATTTAATGAGTTCAAGAACTGGGTTAGGTTACTTTGTATTTACAAAATTCTTTTTTCTTTTCTTTTGTTAAAGGTGTGAACACAAATATGGAAGTGTGAATTAGGTTAAGTTGTGGACATAAAAAAATATCAATCTTACATTTGAGTAATAACAGAATAACCTATCAAATACAACAAATCATTTGGATGTATTTTAGGATAAAAAAAAAAAAAAAAAAAAAATATTACATTGTCTTTTTATTAAACTTTGTTTATATAGTTTATAAAATATAAAGAGATTTTAGCAGACATGAGGAATAGTTCAAGTGGCATTGATTGAAGAGAAAGTATTTTGTTTTGTCTGTTTCAACCCTTTCCCGAGGTAAACCTCAGAAGGATTCATCAAAAAAAAAAAAAAAAAAAAAAAAAATTCAAGATTGGGAAAAAAAAAAAAAAAAATGATCAGGTGCATAAAAATATTTATGAAATTCAGGTTCCCTTATTTATGACAGGGAACGACTGTTTTTTTCTGCCAATATTTTTTTCAAACACTTTGCTTTCTTCATGGAATAAATCTGTTCAAAAAATTCTATGTTGTATGCATTTCCCAGACAGAGGGGCGAAAAAAAAATAAAATAAAAACAAAAGGTACGTGGTTTTCATCATGTTGAGAAACACTGGGCCAAAATTTAAAAATAAATTTTATCCAAAAACAAAATTATGCCATGAAACTTGTGGCTATTTGCCTCTGCCATATCTAGAAATCTCCAAGAATTTAACAAGTTCTGGAATGTGTGTATATATTTCTTTTAAATAATAGTAACAAGGTCTGCTAGTCATTTTTTTTTTTTTTAAAGTTTTTCAAACATCTGACAAAGTTGTTTATGTCAGAATTTTAATTGATAAACTTTCCAAAATTCTCTTTTTTTTTTTTTTTAAAAATCCAAGTACTTTTGACTGTCACCAGAAACATTATCAAGAATTGCATGTTTAGTCTTGATAACAGTGGTCAGTTAAAAGTACACTGATTAAAAAAAAAAAATTTTTTGTTAAGAAAGTTTATCAATTGTAATTCTGACATAAAACAACTTAGCTGCAAGTTGGAAAAAACTTAAAGTAATTGGACAGAGATCTTGTTATTGTTTAACAAAACTTGTTTAAATGAATTCTTCCTCTGTGTGTGTGTGTGTGTGTGTGTGTGTGTATCTTTCTTTTGTTTGGATATGCAAATTAATTAATTACTATATGCACATTTCATAAACTCCAGCATGTATTTGAGACATTATAAATATGATGCTGAATATTTGATGAAGGAAGCGAGAGAGAGACACAGACAATGTGTACAATATGGACCAAATAGTTTGGAATTCTCAACAGAAGCTAAAAAATAAATAAAAACAGGAGAGAGAGAGAGAAAACTCAGTTGTACACATTAAGAGTCATGTTGTGCCATCCCCACTGCTACCAAGTGCACACGCCCACCATCAAATTGGAGGGGGGAAATATTTGCTATTTCCTCTTGTACTCTTTTTGCAATAACAATAAAATGAAGAGGGGAAAGAACGAAAGAAAACGCTAATATTCAATCAGCAATTCAGATAAAAGAATTAACATTATTCAGTCATTCAACTAAAGACAGAAATGATTTATTATCAAATTTTTCTTGAGTGAGAAACAGCAGCAATAATGATAACAATAATAATAATAATGGCAATAAAAGTTATTCTTCCAAACTGATATTAGTGTCTGCTATTCATTTGATTCATTCAAGTTGTAGAGATTATGGCAGTACTAGTTGATGATGATGATGATGATGGTGATGGTAATGAAGATAATGACTATGATGATGATAGCAGTTGTACTAGTATTGTTGATGATGGTGACGATTGTTAGTAAAAAGTTGTTGCCTATGAACCGTACTTGCAAACAGTAACAGCTGGTAAGGCACACTCCACCCTTTCTCCCAAACACCACGCTGACAGTTTTAAAGAAGCTATGCTCATCTGCCTCTTCAGAGGATCAGCGTGTCAATCGTATAGAAAGTTCGTTTTCATCATTTCGAGGCACATTAGCATATTCAGTCAGGTCACAAGTGATGACATTACTGATAACGCAGTCCCCAACCTGAAAATGAAAAGCATTCAATAATTAAGAGAATTCAAAAGGTGATAATCTTGAAAATGACAAACAAGCAAATCAAATATGGAATAGAAATTAATTTTCACCCTTGACATCTCCACATCTAATAGATTTTTTCAAGGATTGGTCAATAAAGTTTGGTTTGTAACATTATCATTGTCAAGGCCAACAATAACACAAGACTTAATCTCTCATACATAGCATTACATTTTATGCAACCTTAGACTGTGTTAATTACTGTCAGTCAGTGGTGTATAACTATGGGGTTTTCTCCAAACATGGATTCTACATCTTTGCCAGGATGTGAAAGATACCTTCTCAGGTGAGTGTTCATCTATCTACCTGTTATATGGTTTTTCTTAATTGTACATATCATAGATGCAGCTAAAGTGATTGCATGTTTACATATTGTTGGCAACCACTGACATAAGGTGAAATATGGATAGGTGGCTAGGAGGTCATCTCTCAAGTCAATCTGTCGATGCAGCTGCCTTCTACAAAAGACACCAAGTTCTATTTTAGCATCACTTGATGTGCATCACATCCTATGGTTTTATTAAGCTTAAAAGAGACCCCACCATCACCAAATTAGTTTCACTGAACTGTTACAGCTGGCACAACACAAAAATAAGATGAAACAGATTCTTAGAAATTAAGGTTGAAAGAAAAGATTACATGTAATAATGAATAGTGGGTTTTATTTAACATATAATACAATTTTTATAAACAGTTGGGCTGAGGTTTAAACAATATACATTGGGAAATGCTAACAGTTAATAAGCGTGTGAGAGCTCAGAAAGTAGTTGGCTTAAAGTATAGCTATATGAGGGAGTGGGAGAGAAAAACCTTATACAGTTAAGATTAAGGCGACGGATGAGAATTCGTCGCTAGTCAAAGAATAATATCATTTTCTTAGAAAAATAGTTGGATATTCACATGTATATAAAACAAAGGAGTTTGGTCAATAATATCAAGGAATAAAAGGTAATGTATTTACCAATAGCCTTTTCTTTTGAGGACTGTCGGAACTTAGATTCTTTCAGTCAAAGCTTTGTTCATGAGTCAAATGGACCACAGCTGAACTCAGTAGTCATGGCTGTGGGTTCAGGAGGCAAACTGGCTAGTTGGTATGAACGCCTGTTTATATATACTCTCTAGAACCCAGTAGAAGTTTCTAGAGACTTCTAGAAAGTTCCATTTTATTATTATGAAATCTAAAGGGTTTGGTGAATAGGAGCTTTTCATAAGGTAAAAAGGGCATCTAGTAGCTACAGATTTGTCATCACTTTAATCTAGGTTTTGTATTTTATAGTGTAAGTGTAAATAGTTAGGGCAAAATGGGGCCTCATAACAGAACATACTTACTGTTTTATTTACAAGTAGACTATTGTCTTCATCTTTGTTTTTGTTATCACTATGTTTAACCATAGTCACAGAATGCCTTTTCAAAATTCTGCATGATTCAATGACATTAGTCTGAATATTTGCTAAACCTATGCTTTTAAACCTGTGTGGCAGAAATATCTCCCACATTAGAAAAAACAAAAAGTTTAAAATGTGGTAGTTATTTTTGTTGCATCCTAACTTCAAAATATTATAGAATAATTAAATTCTATAATCATTCCCTTCTACAGGATGCAGCAACTCCCACATTTTAAACTTTTTTTTTTTAAAATGTGAGATATTTCTGCCACACACTTATTTATAATTCCAGCCTTGCACAATAGTGAAGACACTTGCTGTTATCATTTCTCATTACTGCAATGATCAATAAAGCAAGACATCACATAAAAACATTTTCAATCTTACCTCGGGGTAAATACCAATTAGGGCATCTGCTCTGTTGTAAAATTCTTCTTTTAAAGAAATCACGACACATTGGAAGTTAATTTCAGCCTGTTCTTCAATATATGAGGCAACCTGGAAACAAGAGGAGGGTTGTGTAAAATATAGAGTCAGAATTAAGAAAAACAAATTTGGTTTGATCTGCAAGCAATGTTTTTGAAACGAAAGATGTTCAAAAGGTGATTAATGTTTGGATTACATTAAGAACATGATTCTTTAGCAGATCAATAGTGACAAAGTACCTACCAATTAGAAGACACTTAAAATAGGCTTTAGATAAGAACCATGTTTATTAATGAATCAAGGTGAGAGAGAGAGAGAGAGAGAGAAAAAAAGCTTAATTTTCATCAAGGATACATGGGGGGGGAGATTTTTTATATACATTTCTGTCTTCTGATTGGCTATTGGTAACAAGAAAATAAAGACATTATGAAATTAATTTTAATAAATGGAACCCTTTGTAAGGAAAATTCTGAAAACTGCTCATTTGTGCGTCAGCAAATTATAACAGGCAAGCAGGCAAAAGATTTAATTAGGATTCTAATGACTAAAGCTCATAGAAGAATTAGGACAAGAACACCTTGGGTTTGTTCAAGACACTGGAACAAAAAAAATGCTATCTTTGTGATGAGAATGCTATCAGACCAAACGTTACAAATGAAGACAGACCTCCAATCAGTAAGTGAATATAATGAATCCAATAGGAATTGGAACTCTGCTCTCCAATTAACAATTCCATTATCAATTACACTAACAGCACATTCAAGATTACAGCACCTGCTATTCACAAGCAGTCATCCATCTATGTACTGACCAGGCTTGACATTGCTTAACTTTGGTGATCACATGGGAACTGGTGCTTCAACATATGATTGTAAACCCAAAGAAAGAATGCATGGCTATCAGCCTAATATTAAGAATATCAAAATCAAACCAAAAAAGAAATTTAACTGAGTAGTGTAATAATGCTGCATTAGATAGAAACCTGAAAGTCCATAAGCTAAGTATTAAGATATAGGAGAAATATCAGAAAAAAAATGCTTACCTTCTACTTAATACCTAATTCTTAGTGAATGCTGGAGAATTTCCTTAGAGATCAAAAGTCTACAAGTCACAGAAATGAGGTTCTACTAACAAATGCTAAGAATATACCAAGAGTCAATCATGTGAACAAGGAAGTCATAAAGATTAACAGGAACAAACTCAGTGATACCTCAGCTATAGGACTGAGTAGCTATGTTCTCAGTGTTACGTAAAGCTAATATTGTCATTTGAAGCTTTTGGAATCAGTATATATTAAACGTTTAATATATATTTTTTTTAGTCACTGTGCACATTCTTTTGTCCTTGATTTTTGCTCTGATGAATAAGGACCAATAAACTAGTTTAGCTGTTGTTAATTGTTATATTTCAGTTTACCAATTTACAGTAATATATATTTTGTTATTCCCCTTTTTTGTTATGAATGGCTTTTTAATATGCCTGCTTTTATTGCCAATAAAATTTTGTATCCTTGCAAAAATAATACAATAAGAAAGTTGAAATTTCTTGGATACATAAGGAAAGTGGACCTAGAGAATTTAACACTCAGTCCATATTGAAAGCAAATGTTAAATAGTGAGTAACTCATTTGACGGGTAAGTAAATAGCAGAACAAGGGTAACAAATAACATTGAATATGGATAGAGTTAGTTCGATCCAAAAAAAAAAAAAAAAAAAAAAAAAAAAAACAGGATCTTTTGTGGAGAGCCTTGATCATCTAGAATTCTATGTTAACAAATTAATTGTTTCTAGATCTTTTTATTAAATCACTTACTTTGCCAATATTTGTGTTATCCAAAGCAGCATCAATTTCATCGAGGACAAAGAAAGGAGCTGGTTGAAAACTGAAAAGAAATTATTCAGATTATTAAATCAAATTTTTGTCTTTTTCTAGTCAAAACTAGATATAGCTATCAAAAAAGCAAATCGAAACAATTCTTCAATTGGTGGTCTGAAGCTCAAGTATGAAAAGATGAAGCATACATGCAGAATTAGGTTCCCACATCAAATTAGAAAAAAAAAAACAAAAAAAAAAACCCTACCGCAAAACAGACAGATCAACAATTCATTCCTTATTGATAACTTACACTCTAAATTGAATAAACAAAAATTAGATATGTTGAAACATTTCTAGCATCAAATATTCAATGTCCTGTTGCTTCACACCCACTTAGAAAATAGTAAAAAAGCAGTTAATTTACTTGTCTCTCCCCTGCCAAACTTTGCTGAGCCGAAAAAGCAAAATTTAATCAGCAATAAACTGTCTGAACTCACCTGTGAATTGCAAATAATAATGCAAGAGCAGCAACTGTTTTTTCTCCTCCGGACAAATTGTCCATTGGTCGGAAACGTTTTCCAGGGGCTACACAATTGTAGTTAACACCATCCAAGTAAGGTTCTTCAGGGTTCTCAGGGCCAAGAAAAGCTTGGGCACTAGGATTTCTGGACAAAGCCTTGAAAAAGAAAATGATAAGCTTAGTTCTGAAATTCAAAAGTTCATTCAGCTCCTGCATCTCATGATATTGGGTTGTCAGATAAATTTGTTTGGTTCCCTCAATGTATAGGAATTAACATGCAAAATATTTTTATTGTATTGTTTAAGGCTTCCTTGTAACTATTTTCATCTACTACTTATGTTTATCATTTGATTGAATTTTACCTCTTCAAACATTTGATGAAGTATCGAGCAAACAAAAATGGGAGCGAGGGAAACAAACTAATTTATCTGATAACCCAATAATTAATCCAGTTAACTAAAGCAGCTAACTTATCCAGAGGCCTAATATTGGGCGGTGCATAATAATGGTGCAGTGGGTCAGGGTTTTTTTTTTTAATTAAAGAGATAGGTATCTTAAGTGAGGAATGGAAAATTATTTAAAAGCTCAAGATGAATAGATTAACCTTAATAAGATGGAGAGGTGGAAAAGATAAAAACCTCTAGATTCCATCAAGGTTTAAAAGACTTTTTTTTTTTTTTTTTTTTTTTTTGCTATATGTGTTCTATCTCTGATATTGAGCACTTTAACCCATAAATATAGCATATCTTAAATTAATATAAAATATACATATTATCTCTTACTGATGGCACAACTCAGAGTTTCATGCACAATGCAAACTTCAGCTAAAGATAGCTGACTTATATCATTTAAACAGTTTTAATAAAAATATCTGGTTACTGTAGTATTGTGCAGTTATATATTATACTGGGATTACAGTTTTTCAATATTAAAAATATATTTGGCATTTAAAATAAACAGAATTTATGTGTGTGTATGTGAATACCCACTCCCCTCACACCAATTATTTTAAGAATTGTGAATATTAGTTTTTGATATTAAACAAAGGGAGATTAAAAAAAAAAAAACAAAAAAAAAAAAAAACAATTTGAATTAAAAATGACTCTGGATCAATGTATTTCACAAGATATTTATTTTTAAGCCTACATGTAACCATTAATTCATTTCTCTTGTTTAATAAGCTAGGGTATTTAAGTGTTTTAAGAATTAATTTATCAACAAGACATAAGTTACATCTATTACCTTTTCCCATAGTAAGATTTGGATTTTGCTACAATATCCCACTCTTTAATTGTCAGAAATGTTTAGAGAGCAGTGCTTTTTATGTATTTTATATTGCCTAAAGTCATTCGATGATGGTAGAAGAGATTTCCAAGGATTTTCAGTGAAAACAAAATAAAATTTGACATCATTACCTGAATGTATGCTAAGTTTGATATACAATATTATCAGTCATACATCAATTGTTTAAGGGACAGATCATATTTTTTCAGCAGTTGCATTTATTTTTTAAAAAGATCAACTGTTGTGTATGTTGGACATTTGTTTAATATTGTTAGTTATGTTGAGATTTATCATATTTATATACTTTTAAGGTATGCTATATTTATCAGCTACAGTGCTCAATATCAGGGATAGAGCATACGTAAATATAAAAGTGGACATTGAAGTCAACACCCAGAGATGACAGTCCATTTCATGAAAAAACACAATCATCTGTCCACAGGCATCATGTTTTTGATCTCTCATATATATCTCAAAAGAAAAATTCAAATAATAAACTGAAGAAAAAACATTCCTTAAAAGTTTAGTATTTTTAGTCACCTTTTGCAGACAATTGATATACTAAATCTTAAAAAAAGAATATGCATTTTAGTTTAGTTCAAGATGTATTTAGAAGTTGACTGGTTTAAAAAAGAGATTTTTGTGTATACTTACTTTGTATACTTCATCAATCCTTGTGGCCACGTGATCAAAGCACAGCATGAACCTGTCGTATCTTTCTTTGCGGATTTTCTCAAAGTTAGTCTTTGCTCTTTTAGCCCGTTTGCGAGCATTTTCAAATTCCTCAGAAGTTTCCTGGAAACGTTCTCGCACACCATCAAGCCTGGAAAAAACAAAAATTAGAACAACAAAATTGAAAATTTGAGGAGTAAGTTTCAAAGACACTAAAATAAGCTTTCCAAGACATCAATGTATGTATAAAATTCTATGACTTCTGTAAGTGTCTATCACACCATCTAAAATAGCCATGCATTGACTGATTGAAGCCAAATTTTCGGGAGAAGTACAACAGGTTAGTGGGTACAAAGTACAGTTGGTTTTATTATGGTGTGTAGCTTAGTACAATAAATTTTCATTAATTTTTTTTTTTAAAAAATTAAGTTTTATTATTTAACATACAAAATACTCCCAGTATTTTAAAAACAATTTAATAATTAAAATACTTATCTAATAATTAAAATAAATACTTATCTAATAATTAAAATAAATATCTAATAAAAATGCAATATGGTTTTTTGCATGTCTTAAGTTTTTATATATACAAGAATCCAGTTCCAGTTTGCCTTGTTTGTGAAAACTAAACAAATCACAAAGCCAAACACTTCAAAAAGTTGGAATTTAGCTCCAGAAAGACATTTATGTATGACCAGTTGTATGCTGCATGCTAAAAAGTAAGAAACCGTAAGAATTTATTCTTTGCTGTTAAAAAGGAAATAAAGAAATTTTCTTAAAAAATATTGTTTACCATAAAGTTCTATAAAATTAAATTAAAGAAATTATTAAACCACACAGTAGGGTTTTTATCAAAGTATTTTTCCAACAAATCAGCTTATTCAAATTTCATTGATTGGTTTGGGAAATTGAATGAAACAGAGCTCATAAATCTCAACAAAAAATGTTAGCGATAACTTTAACAATACTAAATACTGTAAGTATTTCAATGTGTAAATGTGTTGCAAAAAAATTAGAGTCTTTAGAAAATCTATACAAGAACAAAAATAAAAAAGTTTAAGGACAAAACACCAGCCAGCACCAACAGTGAATAGCTCCAGGAAGAACTCTTCCACTTTTGATTCTTGCAAGGTTTTTATTGTAGTTGGCTGCCATGGATTGGCCACAGAACCAATGAATGCTTGCTTTATATAGCCTTTCAATAATCCTCTTTCATTTTCTTCTGCTTCCATGGAATTGATTAGTCTTGCTGTATTCACTTTTAATACATCAATTTCAAGTAATCAGTTATCTTGTTCTCTCCTCCATTGGTCTTTGGGTCTCTTCATACTGGGCCAGGTTTTTTTTTTTAAAAAAAACAGGACACTTTTAACATCTTTTCTTTATTTTCTTGTCACATGGAATGCTGCGTACCAATTACCAATTTACGGTACAAGATATTTCTTTTTGTTTTCTACAAAAAAATGCATGTCACCAGAGTTTCTTCAATCTCTGTAGAAAGCCAATAGAACATTTATGGCTATTAGTAAAAGAAATGCATACAAGAACGAAATAATTCCAGCTAAGATCTTTCAATTTGTTCTCTTTACTGCAAGTCACTAAAAAGAACAGCTGAATTATATGTTTGGTATATCTGTTGTAGTAGGAGTCGTAACACAGTTCTCCACATTACGTTTAGCAAACAGGTTCACTAAGCAATACCCTTACATTCACCAGTTATTCTCTATATTTGTCTATTTTATTTGCATACGATACTACACCTCCCTGAATCGAAGAGGTTGTATACTCTTGTTTCTTTCGGTTTTTTTTTTTTTATTATTCCTGATTATTCTCATACTGTGTTGTCATTCCTTTAGTCTTTCTTGTTTTCTCCTTAATGGTGATCTCGGTTTTTTCGTTTTCTTCACTCTTGTCAGTCTTTTTATTCTCACTTTCTTCCATTTCCTGCTCTGTTTGTGACTGTATCTCTTGTTCTTCATCTTCCATTTCTATGTCATCCAGTTCATTTCTGCTTCTGAATTGATCTGCATGTGCCAGTATATTTTGTCCCTTTTTCTCAAGTATAGCTGTGTTGGGTCCTTTTTGTATCAGGAAAATTGTTTCTTCTGGAACAGCCTCTTTATTCTTTCTATACCAAACCTTTTCTTTTGTTGAAAAAAAAAAAAAACAAAACAAAAAAAACAACAAACATAGTTATGGGGGCTTGGTTTTCTTCCCGCATGTGGAATGGATCTGTAACTGAGGAGCATTTTTGGTAAATACACTTCTATGCTTTCATTAAGTGGTGAGAATGCTTTTAATCCCATTTTCACTGTTTGTACCATCTTTTCTGCAATGCCATTATTGTGGGTGATATAGTGGCATCTTGTATAGAATGCATCCAATCTGTTTCAACCACGCACATAAGTTCTCATTGCAAAATTCAGGTGCATTGTCTGTGACTATTGTCTGGAATACTCCATTCCTTGAGAATATCGTTCTTAGTACTTGCTTTATTGTGGTGGCTTTTCTGTCCTTTGACAACCTCTTGCCATCCTGAATATGAGCCCACTAATACTAAGAACAATCCCCTATCTCTGATATGAGTGCGATCCATGTGAACCCTAAACCATGCCTCTGCATCCTTGGGCCATGAGTGAATTTTTCCTTGCTTTAAGTTTTTGTTTTTTTTTTTTTATTTCTGCACATATTAGGCATCTGTTAATGTATTCCTCTACATCTTTTGAATACCCTGGCCACCAGGCTTGTAACTTTAGTCTTTTTTGTGTTGTTGTTATGTCACAATGCATGGCATCATGCACTTCTTTTAATATGTTCCTTCTCAGTATTTGTGGAGCTACAATTCTATCCCCATTGCATATTATGCCATTTTCTATGGTTAGTTTGTGCTTCATTCTTTAAAGGGTCACTGCCATCAAACAATTGCTCCATACATTATTTTTTATTTTCTATACTATTCTGCTTAATATTAGGTTTTGCTTTGTTTCTATTTTGAGTCTATTTAGAGGAAGAACATCCATTTCTACCCAGTGCATTATTTTATCTTCAGCATTTTCCTGTTTTCATTCTTGAACTGCAATCTTGATAAAGCATCTATGTAATGGATAGTGTTCTCTTTTATGTATACTATGTTAAAATTGAATGCCATGATCTTTATCGCCTATCTTAAAATCCTTGACAATGTGACTTTTGGCAATTCTTTTCTCGGATTAAATATGAGTTCCAATGGTTTGCGGTCAGATTTTAATAAGAATTTTTTTCCTATCAAAAATTTTTGTGCCTTTTCCATGCTCCATACAATTACTAGTGCTTCTTTTTTCAATATTCAAGTAGTTAACTTCTGCTGACATTAACCTTCTTGATATGTACATCATTGGGTGTTCTTGCGATAGAATAGCAGCAGTCACCTTTTCTCTCGCATCTAATGTTTAACATTACTTCTTTTTGTGGCTTGCAGTTTCGATATTTGGCAAAGGAAAAGAGTCTGAACATACCTGGTGATTTATCCCTATCTTGTAATCACTACAAATACTTAAATCTCCATCAAGTTTCTTTATCGTTACTATCGGTGATGCTCAATTGCTACCACCTTGAGTTACCCTTTCTAGTATAACTTGTATCATCTTGTTTAATTGGCTACCACCAAAGGTAGGATATGAATTGAAACTTTTCTTGACTATATATTTTGGGTGATAATTTTCTTTTAGTCGAATGCTTGCTTTATAGCCTTTCAAGGATCCTATTTCATTTTCTTCTGCTTCCATGGAATTGATTAGTCTTGCTGTATTCACTTTTAATACATCAATTCCTAGTAATCTGTTATCTCCACCGTCAGTCTTTATGTTTCTTAATTTTCTCACTCTTGCAAATGCAGCAAAAGTTCTTATCCATGTTTCTGTGTGTTCTGGGTTGTCCAGAAAATTTAATGATCCTATCGGCGATGCCATTGTTATGTTTGCTATATCGCTCTGTGTAGTAGCAGTCATAGCAGTTCTCCAAGTTACGTTTAGCAAACGGGTTCACTAAGTAATGCCCTTATGTTCATCAGTTGTTCTCTATTTATATTTATCTATCTCATTTGCATACAATACTACACTGACAAAGTTAATGGTTGAAAAACTGAAGATTGCAGAATGTCTAAGAGCCCATATAAACTTTGCTTTATAAATATTTTCAATGTAATTGTTCTCATGAGCTTTCCTCACTGGACTCTTTAAATTCCATTGTCCATGTCTAGAGATATCTTGTCTAGTTTTTATTTTCAGTACTGCTCAGTTATTGCTGGCCCTGTTTCCACCAAGTCAAACTATACACTGCTCGGCTCAGGGATTGTACTCACAATTACTATGTCACCAAGAAAACAAAGCTTGACACAATGATCGAAATGTTGAGATAACAAAGTTGACAATAGTTTGCATGTAAATAGTGTAAATAACATTAAAGCTTCACCCTGGAATTCAGAGAGAAACAAATAACTTACTTTTCCATTGCTTTCATGTTTGGTGCATTAATTCGTTGCAATGTTGACTGCATATCAGACATTGCTTTATTGAGTGCATCTTGAGCCTTCTTTACATCTTCAGGATGATCAAGCTGCAAAGAGAAAATTAAAAAAAATAAAACAGAATTCAAAATACAATAAAACTGAACCATTTTAAGCTTCTTCCCTGGGATTATACTCACCCCAATCATGACCTTATATTTATTAGATTTCAATATATATATATATATATATATATATATATATATATATATATATATATATATAAAATTATTTATTTAAAATATGATTCCAAATCATTTTTAAATAAATAATTATATTTATGCTCTACTTTTGTATCGAGCACTATTTTTTAAAAATAATAACTAAAATACTAAGGGACTTTGGATTATTTACCTAACCAGTTCCTTCCTATTATATATTATATATATATATATATATATATATATATATATATATATATATATAATATATATAATTTTTATATATCAAGAACAGTTTTGGAGGAAAGATCTCATATATATGTCTAAAAATAATAAACTAAAAAAAAAAAACAAAAAAACAACGCTATATTATTTATTTCCCTTTACTCAGAAGCTATGATCAAAATGCTAAAATGGGTACCACTTCCAGGGCATGAATTGCCTCTGTGCAAATAACTAAACAATTTAATTGTAAAAACCACCAACTAAACAATCACTTATTTATAAAATGTCACAAACGGCCAAACTGAAACAGAAGAACAAAAGATATTTTTTCAAATTTAGTTTTCAAAGCTAATTATGCAAGTTAGCTATCTCCCTTATGCAAGAACAACTAAGTTAGGCAACATATGACACATGTGACTCCATTCATGGTGAAATTGTGACAAGTTTTGTGATGACATTCTCCTATCATCCGTCATTCACTGATTGGTTGATTGTATTTGCATATACACCCAACTCACTATGTGCACATGTTTGTCTCCTTAGCCGGTATCACTGTCAACAAACAATAATAATGATGACAAATGTTTTAAAAGACACTGGTTGGAAGTTCATAACAATACGATTTCTCACTTAGCTGGCTATCTTTTCCTTTGGCTGAACTGCCATCTCCCAATCTTAGCTGGTCACTTCCTTACTGGCCTCTGGGCTCAGTGACTCTTGATTCCTCACTACCAATCCATCTATCACTGACTGCTGAACAGCTCTAACTCCTCTGGTCACCTACCTACTTCTCACAAATGGAACCACTTTCCCTGCCAACTTCCTGCCTCTCTGCTTATATGGATAATCACTGGGGTCCCACCCTAATCCATCCACTTGTGTTCCGGAAGGTTTGGGACCACCCCAATAACACACTGGTGGACAGATCTTCAAAAATCTACTTTTATGACTATGTTAAATCATTGATGAAATTTTATGTTTGCTAATTCAAAGGTGGACTGTAGACAAAATTCCTATGAAACTCAGATAACTAAGTGAACTTAAAAGGAATTTATCTACTTATCCTTTAAAAGATGTGTGAGAAATTGTATTGTTACACATGCTGGTAGATATAAATAATAAAACTGCATTTATTTTTGTCACATGTAATATTTACATATTCATGAACAGACAACATTCTTTTTTATATTCAAGTTGTTTGCAGCAGGCAAATGTAAACTGAACTTCTATCAGACTAATCTCAGTGTCAGTGTACATTGTGGCTGAATTTTGAAGTCTTTCACATCAAATCTACAGGAAAAAATTATTTGCTCCAAATTCAATCGGCAAGTTTTTTTCTTTTCTTTATTTTCTTCCATATTTCCATGTATTTTCCTTAAATCACTTTTTCTCATTCATTACAGAAGCAAAACCATATGACAGAAGCAAAACCACATGACAAAATTACATCCCAAATGGCCATCATCAATATACACATTTCTTACCTCTTTTTCTTCTTCATCTAACATACTATAGTCAATCTGTTTAAAAATTCCTTCTCATAGATTAAATAATATAATAGACCCAGACGTTATCAATGCAGTACTGTCTGAAGTATTCTCATCAGTTTGACTAGAGTCATTTTCCTGACTGATATCATCCATTGAGCCCCGCTTCATTGGTAAGTGAATATCATCCATCTGTAAGACATTAAACAACACAATGAATACAACCTCGCAAAGAAACACAAGCAAAATTTCCCAAGAATAAAAATAATTATATACATGTTTAACAACTTAAAACAAGTACCTCACTTTTGAAAACTTCTTTCATTTTTTTTTTAAAATCCAGACTCCTAATAACAGTTTTCTGGTACAATGCTCAAAACTATGTACACAGCTTAACACACATGTAGAATACATTTTTTAAATGAGCAACTTTGTACTAGCAGCTTGCTGCTGTTCATTGCTGATTGGATTGTATAGACAATCAGCAGTGAACAGCAGCAAATGGCTCATACAAAGGCATGTTCTAAAATGGCCACATACAGTGTATTAGCAAATGGGGAAAGAGGGGTCAGGTTTCTCAGGATAACAGCAGAAAATGTCAAAATCCAAAAGGGTGTCATTAAGATGTAAACATCATCATTTAAGACAATCTAGTAAAGCCCAATAAGTCACTTTATTTTTTTTAGTTCATAAAATCTTCAATAAACTGAAATGAGAGAAATTATTTGAGCAAGACTCAATATCTTTGTATCTAATAAAATCCCCACAGATTTAATAACTGATTTCCTTTTTTTAAATCCTTTGTTGGTTTCTATTTAATGAGATTAGGTTTATTTTGCTTTACAGCATATTAACCTCAAGGGGGTTATTTAATGCCAACAAGATTTTTTTTTAGAACAGATTCATATGAATATGTATTCTTTGTAAGAAATCAGTTTGTAGATTAGGTTTCATAGATGTATTTTTGTAAAGATATAGCACAGCTGACCCAGCTCAATCCTGGGTTGTTCCCACACTGTTCAGTACTGCCGCCAGTAACTGATAGTTATCTGCTTTCGTCGCATGTTGTGTTCCTTGATCACAGAGCAGTGAAAATCAAATTTCATCTGCACTTGAGCATTGGATCAGGCTGTGGCGAAACCATGCCACAAAAAGACAAAGAACATTTCTGCTAGCAAAAATGAAAACATAGCAAAAAAAAGTAAAAGAATTTGACATGTTGGCTAAAGAATTATTTTTCTTAAAATAAAAAGAGTTTGTCATGTGAAATCTAAGGCATGGCAGAATAATTAAAGATAACATTACTCCTCAAACAAAAGGCAAATGCAACATTCTCTAGAACGCACCAATTACAAAAATTATTTCTATGTCCTTGATGTCAAAGAATTTCCTTTGCTGTTGATTTTCCAATATGATCCATATAATTTTCTGCCCATTTTGCATGTTTACAAAATGACACTTCACGTTGTTTACATTACCAGCAAATCTTCACTTTTTCCCGCTTCATATTTCAATTCATATTTTCACTTTAATGTTTTTAACCCCTCCAATTCTCCAATTCCTATGCGAGGTATTTACATGAACCATTTTAATCCTAATTTCATACTACCAGTGTTGCAATAGTGTCACAAAGAGGGGTTTTGTCAAGAGCCAAATGTACTGCTGGTAATATTTGTTTTTTTTTTTTTGGGGGAAATGTATTATTGTATTTTTAATATAAAAATTTACTTTTATACTTTCATAGTGTAAAAAAATAAAGTTGGCTTAAAAAATAAAAAGAGTTTGTCATGTGAAATCTAAGGCAAGGCAGAATAATTAAAGTTCTATTCTAACAGTTTCTTCTCTTACACTTCTCGATTGTGGAACTCTTCTGGATTCCCAGTCAACTTAAGGGGTGAAATGATTTAAAAAAACAAAAAAAAAAACATTTTACTTTACCTTACAAGCTTTTAGTAAACTGTGGCGATCAGCCTTTTTCTGTTCAACTTTTGTCTCAAGAGTATTGATAGCCTTTTGCCAAGTGGCTATCTCTTTCTGTTGCGCCGTTAGACGCTTGCGGATCTCATTCAGAACATCTTCCATGTCATCAACTTGCGACTTTGTGGTGATACGCTGCTGTTTATATCGTTCTTGGCTTTGCATTGCTTCATCAATTACCTGCAAATGAAAAAGTCAATCAGCATGACAAAAAAAAAAAAACAACAGATGACCATACATTCAAGGATGATTTGTTGAGATTAATTGAAACTCTTGTGAAGAAACAGCATGACAGGATAACTGTAGGTGCCCTCTTCACAGGATTAGGGTTCATAAAATTTTCTTTTCATTTAGTAAAGCATACTTAGAATTATAGACATTTTCATTAAATTTCCCCAGAAAGTTTGAACAGCAAAATATTTTTAAAAATTTAAATTTCTCTGAAGAAACAACAATAACTAGACAAAAAGATAGCTATGTGGAAGGTATTACATTTTCAATTACTAGAATTTTTTTGCAACATGCTTATGCATGCTGAAATTTAGGCAGTATTGTTGAAATTATCATTAATATTTTTTGCTGAAATTTACTCTACGTTTTGTTCAATTTTGGAAACCAAATGAAATTTGAATAAGCTGATTTGTTTGGAAAAATACTTTGAAAAAGACCCAACTTCGCAGTTTAATAATTTAATTTTATGGGACTTCATTGTAAACTGTATTTTTTAATTTCCTTTTTAACAGCAAAGAATTCTTAGGATTACTTAATCTTGAGCATGCAACATACAATTGGTCATACGTAAATATTCCTTTCTGCTGTCAAATTCAAACTTTTTGAAGCATTTGGCCTTGTGAATTGTTTAGAGTCCTCACAAATGTAGGACAAACTGGATTCTTGTATATATAAAAACTTAAAAGAAATGCAAAAAAACAATATTGCTTTTTTTATTAAATAAGTATTTCTTATTTTAATCATTAAATTGTTTTTAAAATACTGGGAGTATTTTGTATGTTAAATAATAAAACTTAATTTTCAACCCCAAATTACTGAAAATTTATTGTACTAAGCTATGCATCCTCGTAAAACCAACTGCCTAACTCCCTAACCTGTTTGCACTTCTTCCCAAAATTTAGTTTTGATCAGTCAATATATAGCTATTTTAGGTGTGACAGACTAATGAAGTCACAGAATTATATATATATATATATATATATATATATATATATATATATATACACACACACACACAGATAATCTATCCAACTTCCATGACACTTTTGAACAAAGCAGTCAGCTTCTCTTTGGCAGTTGGAACAATGCATATGTGAATGAAGATTGTGAGAAGCTACCTTCTGCCAAATTTCAACCAATGCATGACTCTTAAACAAGTTTAATAAAAATCGCATTCACAATTTATAAAAATCTTTAAGCAATATTATGACATGAACTAATAGACACTTATGCTTACACACATTCAGGTGATAATATTTTCTTATTTGCTAAGAATGAATAAAGAAAGTGATGATGTTCATATTATGTAACTGAGAAATGAAGCTTTATCAAAGGTCATGGACAGTATGAGCAAAGGGTGCATGCCATTCAATAACATGTAACTGAACAATATTAATAAACATTAGTGGTTCATGTGTATATCACAATTACATGGCCTTTGAAACTAATGTGTGTAAGAGAGTTTACAAGGTGATGGTATATCTATTGAGGAATTGTTTTCACTGGGTGTGGTTGAAAGAAATCAAGAGATCTGCAACATCTCACACTTAATGAGTTTTAAATTTGCTGATGGCTGAGGCCAATGGAGTACTTGGAAATCACCAAAGTGTTTCTGTAACGAGTTTTACTCCATTGGCCTCAGGCATCAACAGGTTTAAAACTCATTGAGTAAGTGTGAGATGCTGCAGATGTCTAATGAGATCTGCAGCATCTCACACACAGAGTGAGAGAGAGAGAGAGAGAGAGAGAGAGAAATGTTATAAATGTTATACTTTGTTCTGGACTTTTGGATATCTAGCATCTGTAAAGTACATGGGTGAAGTACTACAACCATGTTGTTGAAATAAGGAAATACCATCTTGTTTAACCTCTTACTCTTTCTTCATTCAATAATTGTTAACATATTATCAAGTACTATAGAAATGTGTTGTGTATATATATCTCATAGTTAAAAATTTGCTTACATGATGACAGTTTCACACTTCAGGAAAATTTTCAGACAGACTTGATTTGAAGTTTGAAGCCAAGTCATCATGCAGTATTAATCCCTATGTTCACAATATTTACCATAAAATAATCAATAAGCATACAAATACTTACAATGGTAAAAGACCAAGTGCTCAATGCCCAAAAGATTGAGCGTGTGTAGATAAGAAAATAATTAAACAGCTTACAATTATACATACCAATTTATATAGAATTACACATAAAGAGGGAGACAAATTTGAAGCCAACCCAAAAGTTTCCCATAATGTTTGGTGCTCTTCCTGTGTGCAAACAAGTCAATAGTACTACATTTAAAAAGGAGATGGAAACTCTGTGTTTAGTTAAATAATTTTCTTTTACTGGTCAAAAAGACCTACAATTTTAGATAACATTTTGTATGATTTTCTTTTCAGATTTTTACCTTCATGTGTTTTTGTTCATCATTTTTCACTTTTTCTAATTCTTTTTCATCGTCCTTTACAGTTTTATCCCATTTATGTACATTACCTGCAAAACAAAGAAAAAAAAAATTAAAAACTTTCTACTATTAAGCCAATGTACTGGTAATCATGTAACATTTAAAGATCAGTTTTTTTGTGTTCTCAAATTCAGACAAGAATTAAAAACTGTACTACAAAGAATAAGTAAAAATCAGCCTCATAATATTCTAAAGAAACTGCATAGACTTGAAATACACATTGTAAGTGCCTTGACAATGAAATAGATTACAGAATTGACTAAGGATGTGGAGATGGAATGGTTTTAAACTTACCAATTGTATCACGAGATTTTTCAAATTCAATTTGATTTTGAAGCTTGAATCTTTGATTTTCAAATTCTAACCGGACTTTGGCTCTCTCCTCCTGGACTTGAAGTTCTCTTTCTTCGTATTGCCTTTCAAACAAAACAGACATCATGTCAACATTTTATATTTTAAACACATTGAGCACAAATTTGTCATCAGGGAAAAGTGCCAAATACCCAAGCAGTAAGCCGTTTTTCTACCAAATTTTATAAGGCTCGTTACAGTTTGCATCATTACTTTTTACTTTTATATAATGAATTTATTTTTGAATAATTTAATATCAAAGAGATAAAAAGGGGAAGAGAAAAAGATGAAGAAAGACAGAAAGCAATAATTTTGAAAAAGTATTACTGCAGAACTAATGCCTACCTATGAAAAAAAGAAAAAGAAAAGTGTCTCTAATCAAAAATATCCATCATACTTACATACCATCAGCAAAAATGCATTTACTTGAGTTTGGGTTTTTGTTGTTGTTTTTACAGTATTGCTGTGGGTTATTTTTAAAACTTAAACATTTTTCAGATTACCAGAATAAACTTTTTTGTAAGTGAATATTGTATTTTTTTTTATTTTTCTTTTAGAATACCAATTTTTCCAGATACAAGTCCTACTATTTAATCCATAACTGAAGGGAGGAGATGGATCTGTATCTATTGCAAGGGTATTTGCACATAAGTGAATGTAACAAACTCTGCTGGGATTTGAACTTGGCTCTGATTTTTCATGGCAAGACACTATCCACTATACCATCCACACATTCCCCTCTTCTACAACAAAAAGTGTCTCAAATGAAACTAAAAATAAAAGATATTACGAGGCGGATACAAACCTGATATTATCGACTCCGATCTGTTTGCAGAATTCGGAAAAAACTTCATCTTCTACATTATTCATTTTAGTTTCTAGATCTTTTATTTTTTCACCTCGTTCAGACATTCTGCGATCAATTTCTTTAATTCGAGGCTGGAGGAAAAAAAAAAATTTAGATATCAATTTCAAATGAAAACTTTAAAAGTTACTTTATGTGAAAGGATCATAAAAGAAATTTAAAAATCATAAAAAAAAAGAAAATAAAAATTTTGCGCAAAATACATGTAAACAAACTACAAAGATTGGTTGTGTATACAAAGAAAGATTATGCCAAATTGAGGAGCTGAATAAAATGAAAATAATTTTACTATTTCTAAATTCTTATAATTATTCTGTACATAGGATGTTGAAGGTAAAAGGCCAAATGTGCAAAAGTCCTTTGCAGGAGTTAGCCTAAGGTTCACCCAAAGAGCAACTTCTACGCTAGTTATGTAATAAAGATTTTAAAACTTTTTCAGAAATATCACAAACTATAGTCAACATCAATTTTAATTTTCATTTAGCAAGTCAAGCAGCAACCGACTTTACAGTAATATAAATGAAATTTCCAAAAACACTGTATCAGAAAAATCTAGACTCATTCTTTTCTTAATGAAAAGCTCCTTAATATTTAATATAGTAACTTACATTCATTTAAAAACATTAAATTTAATAACATTTTTTTACTGACAATTTTAATTTTTTTAAATTGAGTAATTTTTTCTTATTTTGAAAGAGCAATTAAGAAAACCCAACCTTAAATATTTAAAAAAGTTAAAAAAAAAAAAAAAAAAAAAAAAAATATCCCCCAAATCTGATCAAATAATAAACAAACATCAGATTTTGTTGGGGGTTTGAGACAGTGTCAGTATCCCCTGAGGTAACCAAGCATTTAATCGTAGAAAAAATATTTCAGATAAAAAAAAATATTTGTAAAAGCCATAAATCTGTTTATATCTGCTCAGATATTTTATCTAAATAACTTTAAATTCTGAAAATAAAAATATTTACATGAGTGTCATATGACAAATTCATTTTATTTTCAATGCAAAAATGTGATTTGAAAACATATTTTCTTTTTTATTTAGATGAAAAATTTATATTGTTTTATGAGAAAGTTTAAAAAACAAACAAGAAAAAAAAAAAAAAGAAAAGAAAAGGCAGCTTACCTCAAAGGATTTCAGCATTTCATTGTATGTGTTCAAGTCTCTTTCATTTTGGGTTAACTGTTTATTTAACTGAAAATAAATAAATATTATTAATGACAATTAATTCCTCTCTTGAAAACAAAGGATTCCTAACTTTATAATTTCTTCTACTCCCCCACCACCAAAATAAGATGTTGCTTAGATTTTTTTAAAATTTTATTTCGAATGAACTCAAATACAATTAACTAATTTCTTCCATTCCTCTATGTAAACCTAAACACTGAAGATATGTGATATGAAGAACTGTTTTCATACTTATTTAAGTTGTAAGTACAATTAAGTACTAGTGCTTGCAATGCCTATTAGCAAGGCTTAAAACTACATCTTTTTGTTGATATCTACATAATACTAAAATTCTAATCTTGTGTGTGTGTGTGTGTGTCCCCAATACACCTTAAACAATAAATAATACCCCAACCAATTTATGACCATATTGTACTCCACTGCCAAATTTCCTTAAAATTAGACAAGTTCTTGAGCTCAGGCAGTTTTTCTTTTTTTTATGGTATTTTTAATAGGAAATTCAGTACAGGCATCTCTTGAATTCAATTAATGCAGTAAAACATTCTTCAGTTTAACCATAGTAATTGAAAATTGATTTTTTTCATAGTTACTGATGTATGCATTAGCTGCACTAATTGAGGGATTCCTGTATTTGTTTTTGATACACATCCTCATATCAATCCATTTAAATATACATAATATATATTTATGCAATTCACTACATTAGAACTTTTTTTTTTATAAATAACTACATGAAAGGTGAAGATGATATGTGTCACATGACATAATGGTAAATAAATAAATAGATGCACGCTTGTTTCCTGCCATCACACATTTTGGAATAAATGTGTGGAAGAAACATACTTATTATTTTGAAAAAACTACAAGTTTTAAAAGGTAACACTCCAAATTTTCATGCAATGTGTTAACTATGTAGCCCAGTGAAACAATAAAAATTTTACGGTTTTTAAATACAAATTAAAATGTGTAATTAATAATAAAATTGATAGTATTGATATATTTTTTATCATGAACTGCTTTTTAGAAGAAATGCAATGAGTTTATAAGTGGTCTAGTAGAAACTAATTTTTCTCTTGTCCTTAATAAATGTTTGGATGCTGAATTTTGTTGTGTGCTTACCATTCTTATCAGTTGCCAGATCTGTTCTTGCACAAACTATAAATGCCCAGTTTTCATATACAATTTGTGACTAAAGTTCACACATTCCTGGTATACTCTTGCTACTGTTAACTAAGAAAAGCCTAGAGCAGATGCCTCCTCAGAAATATTTTCTGCATCCTATAAATGCCACAGCTACACTATTTCTTTACTTATTATGTCACACAACCAAATCACTTTCTACAAATTACTTCTATTTATTTTTCAATTTTTTTTTTTTTTTTTAATGATTTTAACTTACAGTATTGTCTCTGTCAGTTATGGAATATTTCAGTCTGGTTTCCAAGCCTTTAATTTGAGAATTGACCGTGTTCAATTCGGATTCTTTCCTTTTCTTTTTCATTTGTTCCTTCAATTCATCAGTCAACTTCTCCTTTTTGGTCTTCAGTTGGTTCAACATTTTCTCATCCCAACGACGTGCTCTGGCACGTAAGTCACTAGAAAAGGAAAATGAAAGTTTCAAAACATCCTAATACCACATTATTATGGATGGTCATGTAGTTTTCAGTTATAAGCCAAGAGCAAATACTCAAGAAAAAAAATGCAAACAGTATAAATAAAAACAAAAACAATCAGAAAATAATTTTATTCTTAAAGAAAAAAGATTGACTAACTTTGCAATTTTCAAAGCAAAAAAAAATGTTTCTTTAATAAAAAAGACAGCATTTGACAATGTTCAATAAATGTCCATTTTATCACATTTAAAACCTTTTTTTTTTTTCCATTGAAAAAATAATATAATTGTGATGTGTGATGAAAGCAGATTAATTATATATCAATCATATATTGGATTTTATTTCTGCTATCAACAGAAAAAAAAGGTCAAAACGGGAGTTTTTGACATTTTGGGAAGGCAGGTCAAAAGGTTGAAACTGACCCAATTACTGCGTGGCGACAAATGTCTAGATAGAAGCTGACAGGGGGACGTGATACTAAAGCTAAATAAAAATGAAAATTTCTTATTTTCAAAATGACAGTCTAGAAATTCAATCTCGAGAATCAGTTTTATCTTAACTTTGAAGAGACAAGACCTTTTGTTTGAAGGGCTGATAGTTTATTAAAACGGAAAGAACAAAAATAGTGACAAAAGTGATGGAATAATCCAAACAAGTTGAAAATCTGGACAAGAAATTTAAAAATATTTGTAAAAAAAAAAAAAAAAAAATTACAAAAAAGTTATAAAATCTGATTCAATAAATTGAATCTTTTATTTAAAAATAAATTAGAGAAAAAAACAATCTCTTTACAATCTTGAAAATTCATGTTTAAAAAGAAAACGGATATCCAGAGAGAACAAATAATATACCTTTGTTACAAATTAAAAGTTTAAAGAAGAAAAAGGAGGAAAGAAAGAAATTTGAAAACAAAGTTTAGAAGATTAAGTGCACATTAGAGTTATTGCAGTTTTTTTTATTTGGTAAATGTTTATAAAAATCTGAACAGAAGAAAAGGAAGGAAAGAAAAGGCAAAAAAGAGATAAAGAAAGTGTATATTTTGTTACAAGCCGGACAGTGTTTAAATTGTGTTTGTAATTAGAAAAACAAAAGAATTTATTGATATAAAAAAAGAACTGAATTTAATTTTAAGTAATCATATTTTGGACCCATAGTAGAAAATATACATACATCCATGAATATTATGTTTTTTGCAAACACCTTTCCACATGTAAAACAATAATTGTAACTCCTATCCCATCTCTTTTGTTTGTTAAATTAATTTTATTGCATTCAAAAAAAGTAATTCATACTTATATTTTTTTATGTTGGGTTCAGTTAAATCCATTTATTGTTGGATGAATTTTGAAATAAACAAGTTTTGAGATCTGGTCGCGGATGTTTTAACTCATACTTAAAATTCTTTTATTTTGATATTTTGTATATTTATACATATTAAAATTCTTGTAAAAAAAAAACTAAGCCTTATAGTTCATCCTTTCATTTGGATCAGTATTTGTGTTGAAAACTTCTGCGGACCTGGGAAAATTATTGTAATGATTATCTCAATTAAACAGTGGTCTTAAAATATTTTTTTTTGTTTTTCAATTGTCATTGATACGATCTGATGGGATAGCTTGTATCTCTCCAGAATAATTATATATCAAAGGTATGAAATGTACAAATATTAAACCCATTCGCTGTTACAGGGGCATATGACAATTTTTATATATTTTTAAAATCACAAAAAAAAAAAAAAAAAAAAAAAAAGCCTTTGTACAAATGTTTGATTTCTTGAAAAAATGGGTCAATACTGGTAACTGATCAATTAACAGATAATTACAAAAATGAGCAAGATTACCATCATATTACACATGTTTCATTTGCATGCAATTCATGTTGGCTGTGTTTTTAATCCTTTCAAATATATTGTCAAAATTTGTTGAAAATTTTAAATTTAAATCATTTTTTTTTTTTTTCCTTAAAAATCATTTCTCCTCTAAGAAGTTTAATAATACTAATAATATATAATTGAGTAATTTTGTTTTTACACAGTTTTTGGAAACAAATTAAAAAAAAAAAAAAAAAAAAGTGATAAATATTTGAATGGTGAAACTGTTTTTGTACAACTAAGTAATATAAAGTGCAGCAAAGAAGTTGCATTATTTTGTTTAATAGAAAAGATCTTTTGTTTTTACTTGCCTATAAATAAGCAGATCAATTAATGCTTAGCATATGCTGTTGGGATATCAATAAACCACAAAAAAAAAAAAAAAAAAAGTCTTTGGTTTCAATGCAAATTAATTTGAATGAAATGAAAAATAATAAATTACAAGATATTTTTTTTTTATGTATATATGTATGCTGACCAGGGAATGCTGAAAAATACTTGGCCTGACAAAGAAACCCATTAAAAGGAAGAAAGGGCTTTGTCACTTGATCAGATATTTTAGGAAGTGGTCTGTGTCAAGAACATTTAAGCACCAACCATGTGTGTAAATCTATTTTTTAAAATTATATTGGTAAATAAATAGTTAATAAAAAATAAAAATTTAAATAAAAGCTCATTGATGCTATTAAAATTTACATTTTTGTAGATGGACCTTGAAAGTACATTGCTATGTCCAGTTATGTTTATAAATCAGCAAATTGCAATTTTCTCAGTTTTGTTATTTTTATATTAAGTTAAAAAATAATTTATGCACTTATTGGTGTAAGGTTGATTTTTTTCTTCAATGTGTGTGTGTTCATTTGTGCATGCATGTGTATGTAGAATGTTGCAGTTATTTCCCCTTTTCATGGTTTTTCTAACCTCCTTATACTCTCTATTGGCTTTTATACCTATTTACTCTTTTGACTGAGTATCAAAGATAAATGTAGAAATTTTATATCCAGTGTCATAAACAGTCTTTCATTTTTCCTAGAATTTTCTGGGGTTTTCTTAAGTTTGAAAAAATATTTCAGTATTCAACTTTCTTTATACAAAAAATTTTTCAAAAAAAAAAAAAACATTAAATCTTGGTAAAATTTTTGTCTTAGTCATTATTTCATTGACTTTTACAAAAAATTTTATCTTAATTTACAAAAATTTTAATTAAAAAGGTTTATAATTAAATCTAAAAAAATGAAATATATTCAGATTTTGAGGAAAACACATTTAATGAACAATCTAAACTTTTTTTATAATTGATAGATCAACAACTAATGAATTTACATTTATATTTATATATATATATATATATATATATATATATATAAAATTTCACAAAATCAGATAAAAAAAAAAGTTGCTAAAATTAAATAATTTTTAAACATTTTAACATAAAAAAAAAAAAATTTTTTTTTTTTTAATTAATAAAAATACATTTATTAAGACTGAACATGAAATTTTAATTGCATTGGAAAAATTTATTTATTATTTTTTTGACTGAATTTAAAGATTTTTTTTTTTGTTTCAAGATTCTAAAAATATATATTTATAATATATATAAATATATATATATATTTTTATATATATATATATATATATATATATATATATATATATAGGTACCTCCACGAGATCGTAAAAAAAAGAGCATAGCATGATGAAAAAGACGCCAAACTTTGACAAAAACAAAATTTTATCGTCTAAATGTTTGTTATTATTAAGAGGAAAGGTCAAAGTATTTTTGGGGTATTTTTTTTCCATTTTTAAATCGTTCCTAGCACGTCCGAAATTTTCGTTAAAAATCTAGTTTTTTTTGAGTCAGCAAAATTTTTTTTTTTTTCCATTTAAAAAAAACTGGAAATCTGACTTTGAAATTTTTTAAATATCAATTATCATTTTTTCAAAACTTATTTTAAGAAAATCAGAAATTATAATGTTTATTTAAAATATTTTGAACCAAACTTAACTTAGCTTTTGTGCCAAAAAGATGTAATTTGAAAATAAAACAAAGCAGGTCATAAACTTTTCGCGTCTCTTGACATGTGATGAATGATATATTTACGAATTCCATGAGGCTAATTTGTTCTCTGGAAGGAGAAAAGTGAAATAATTTACATTTACGTGAACAAATTATTTACCCCGTTATTTTTAACGAAAACTTTCAGCGGTCTAATTTTTTTTTTTTTTTTTTTTTTGTACTTAGCTTTCACCTTTACGTTTATGATGCTTTATGGGAAATATATTGTAAAGAAATTAAAATAAAACTGTTAAGAGTGACATTAAATTTCATATTTCTTAAGAAAGGTATCTAATTAATTTATAGGTACCTTTCTTATGAAATTTTATCAGAATTGTACATAAAATACTATAATTTTATGTACATTTATTACATTCTACTGTTATTTGTATTTGCATTCATTTTATTATTAATTTTGATATTTCATTTATGGAAAAATGTCGTAACTGAGATTAATATAAAAATAAGATCATATAAATTTCATAAGATGATACTGATACTTGTAGGTACCCTTCTCAGTTGAAATTGAAAAATCAAATTAACTTCTCCACACGTGTTTTCAAAAAAGTAAAGGCCTTAACAGCGGAGAACAATGCTTAACTCAAATAACGCAACTTAATTATATTCTGGTTGGTCTTCCGTATTTTATAATTACAGCTCGATTATAAGCACAAAATTACATTTCTTAATTACTGGGGATCTTCTGATTAGTCAAAATGATACAATTTACAACGCGCTAAAAAAAAAGATCTATCTCATAAGGACACTTATGAAAGCCGATGCGGCTTTTTAACTAATTTTATAATATTTTAACAACTTAAATGTAAAATCTATTATAATTAATGAAATAACAAATAATTGTATTAAAAATTCATTTTTTCATCGAAAAATTTTTTTTTGCTTTCAGAAAATATTGTCCATATTCATAAAAACAACTAAAAGCAAATAAAAGCATTTGAAATTAAATAATATCTTTGTTTTATTGAGTTTTGTATGTTACAATTCAGAGCTGATTTTCAGGTACTGCGTATCCAATTAAAAAAAAAAAAAAAAAAAAAAAAAAAAACATGATTTGCATTCCTCAAAGCCCTGTGCTTTTAATTATTGTAATCACTAAAACCGATGCGATCGAATTTCTAGCGTTTTCATAAAATTAGTTAGGGGGGGTTAATAAATATAAAAAAAAACATATTTCTGCCATAACTTTAATAAAACAAAACATATTTATAATAATTGCGATCATCTGTGAATAGTTTCTGGAAGTTTCATTAGCGTCCAACAATTATTTTTATTTTTGCATGATTTTCCAAATTAATGTGTGTAATACAAAAAAAAATGTGCTTAAAATTGTCTATGTTATTTACTAGTTCTTTTTGGTACAAATAGAAATAAGGTTTTTTTTTAATCAAAATTTAAAATGTTCTAAAAGAAGGAAACATTTTAAAAATAATTAAAAAAAAACTTTGGTCTTTCCTCTTCATAAAAACATACGCATTTACACGATAAAATTTTTTTTTTCAGCAAGGTTGGTGTCTTTTTTTCATCAAGCTATGCTCTTTTTTTAGCGATTTTGTGGAGGTACCTATATATCTTCTAAATGTATATTTGTTTTATTATGCTATTTAAATTTTTTAGTACATAATTTCACTGTTTAAAAACAGGAATGTTTTAAAATGATTGAAAATTATTTTTACATGGCCAAAAAATCAATTTTCTTTTACATATAGATTTTTGTTTAAATGCTAAAAAAGTATTAATGGTAGATCATTTAAATGTTCTCTTACCTGGCTCCACCAGAAATAATACCAGACTTTTGAAATAGGGTCCCATCCAAAGCAACAGACTGTAGGAGTGAGAAGAAAAAAAATGACAAGATAAGAACAATAAGATTTCGGAACCAATTCATTGTTAACATGTTAAAGAATAAAAAATAAAATTTTTTGCAGATACAAGTACTTATAAAATGAGATTAACAGGAAAGAGAGAAAAAAAGCCACAATATGGCAGTTAAACAAGAACTGATAAAAAGATTAAAATAAATGCTGAAAGATTAATCATTAAGGGAAGAGATTTAAAAATTTTCTAATAAATTATTTTTAATGGAAAAATTCAAAATAATGATAGCTTGAATTTATTAAAAAAAATTAGTAAAAACACTGAACCTTATTTTCTTTCCATTTCTATGCCTTTGGATGAGACAGCTGATAGTTTTATTTTCAAATACAACTTCATGAATAAAGAAAAACAAGAAAAATAAAAAATGCAAAAACATTGTCATTTGTTTTAATATAAAACTGTATTTTGAAGTTTAATAAGACAACCTCTTGATTGTAAAATGAAAATCTTAAATATAAATTTCATTTAAACATTAGATTGATAAAGATTTATTATAATATATCATCACTGCTTCAGAAGTCTATTATCTTCTACTGGTTCCTCTTGGCAATTACTCTGATAAACATGTGACTAAAATTTGTGGAAAGTTATTTGCAAAATCCACTTTGCAGACCAAAAAAAAAATAAAATAAAAAAATGAAAAAAAAATGTCACATTTTCTTAATTCTTACATTTTTTATAAATTTTCCCCCATTTTTAAATATACTTATCAACCCTTTCAATGAATTTTTAAATTTAAAAAAAATTTGGATTTTAAGAATAATTTTTTTTTTTGGCAGTAAGTGAATTTATTTTATTATAAATTTTTTTTGCAGATAACATCAATTTACCAAATACAATCAAAAATTTGAACCCATTGACTGCAAGAAAGATGAGCTTTTCAAGGAGAATGGAAAAATTAACCAATTTAAACAAGGAGACCATCCAAATTAATTGCATTAAATAAAAAGAAGTTGTCTTTAGAAAAAATTTTAAATTAAACAGTGATTTTATTGAATAAATTTTTAGTATTTCAAGATATTTTTTTTTAAATTTGGGAAAATATATCTAAAAATAAGATGTTTTTTTTTTTTAATTTTGCATATTGCTTTTTTATTGTATAAATTTAATATATATATATATATATAAAAATAAAAAGAATATAAATGCATTTTTTTATTGCATACCTTTTTTTCAAACATTCCTCCAAAAGATTTTTTGTTATGAATTTTCAACTTTTCATTTTAAAAGCATTTTGTCCATTTATTTCAAAAAGTAGAATTTTTAATAAAGGTGGATCATTTGAATCACAAAAATGACCATTTTGACAAAATTTTGGTTTTTAATGTCCCTGGGAAAGACAAAAAAAAATTTTTTTTGGGCATTTTCCAATATGAATCAAAATAATGACAATCAAAAAAAAAAAAAAAAAAAAAAAATTTTCTATCCCAATTTTATTTACTGCATTTACTTATATATTTAGAATAAAGGATATTTTAGAGCTTTATACAACTTAATTTACAAATGCTGTCAAAATAATTGGCCTGTGAATAGACAAATAAGCATTAGAAAAAATTGTGAGATTAAATTTAAAAATTTCTTCATCCAAAATTCTTCAGGGTTCTGAATATTTTTCATCTGGTAATTATAAAAACATATGTTTTTGCATAAGGCTCAAAAGGGCCTTTTTTTTTCTTATTCACTTTTTTCTCTTGCATCAATAACATTACAAAAAAGAATAAAAAGAAATTTTTTTTTTATTTTCATTTTAGAAAAGACTACTGTTCATATTAATAGTGTAAAATCAATCCCTAACTTTTTAGTTATTGGACTTAGCTGTTATTTACAAATGCCAAGTTTGAAACCATACTTTGATCATTGATATCTGTATCTTTTTTCTCAAATTTAAGTTTTTTTTTTTTTTATCTAAAAATTTTTTAAAATTTATAAAACTGATTTACAAATACTGGGGAAAAAAAGACCAATCTTAAATGAAAAATTTTATTTAATATTATTTTTTAATTTATGTGAAATTTTTTTTTCTTTAATTTATTTGAAATGTTATTATTAGTTCTTTAATGAAATAACTATTTTGTGAAAAAGAAAATTAAAAAGTATTTTATTGCAATGAAAAAAAACAAATATTCCACAAGAAATTATATTAAAAAAAAAAAAAAAAAAACAAAAGCAAATCAATGATCAATTTTACACTCTATAGATGTTATAGTTTTATTTTTTTTTAAAGAATTTTTGAAAACAAAAAAACACACAAACAAAAACAAAACAATATCTTTTTGATTCTGACAAATGTATCTTGAAGGTCTAATGAATGTTAATTTCCATTTCAAGAAGAAAAAAATTGTTTGGCAAAATTAATTCATTTGTAAAAATCTAAATAAATGTTTTCATTTTCACAATAGAATAACAATGAATCATAAACATTCAACTCACCTGAGTTTCTCATTAACAGGTTTAACATCAAGGTTTTGGAATATACAAGAAATAATGGTTCAATTGTTGTTATATTTCATATTTATATGAATGCATTTTTTTTTATTTTTTTTCATTAAATGTTTACAATAGCATAAATGTATTTCCCCAAAATTAAAATGATTGGAAACTTGATATTTTTGTGACTTAATAACACAGATAAAATTTTAGTTGACCATGCAAAAAAAATGAATAAAGAAAAACATCAATTATACAAACATACAGAAAAAATAACCACTATATAAAACGTACACTTTGCTATTCATCAGTTATGCATCTTGGTCTCTTGTACTTACTGAAATATTCCATTGTTAAAATTTTAAGTTTGGCATTGAATATTTATGCCAATAACAAAATTAAGGCTACAATAACCATGTCAACAAAACATTTTTAGTCATGATAAGAGGTCATTGATACATTGATTTTTATTTTATGTCAGCTTTCATTGTATATATTTAAAGATTTAAAAATCAAAATTCTTTCTCAGATGCAACAATAGATTTAATCGTATAGAAAAGAATCCAAGATTACTCATGGAGAAACTGAAACCAATGGAACTGTAAAATGAAATTATGGTTTAAAATTGTCAGTCTTTTGTAAACAGGAACAGAGGTGTATATTTATTTCCTGTTTAAAATTTTTTTTTGGTCCCTTCTAAATTTTTCATTTTCTCCACCCTCCATTCTTTAGTGGCATTAGCATAAAAAAAAAAAAAAGCCATTATTTTTGGACAGTATGGATAAAGCTTATACTAAATAAGTTTACCAACAAGCATTTCACAATCTCAACTAGGCTAAATGCCAAGAATAATTTTTATAATGACCCTGTTTTTTGTATATAAATTCATTTACCAAAAAAACAGGAAAGATCAGATGTTAAAAAAATAATTTCAAAATATATTAACACACACAAATAACATATAACTTTCTTATTATAAAATGTGACCAGGTTGTGTGTGTGTGTGTGTGTGTATTATGTGTGTGTGTGTGTGTGTGTGTGTGTCTAACGTTTATATATTGGATCGAATTTCACTTTTTAAAGCCGATTTCAACAAAACTTCACAGGACTACATAAAATTACCTTTTTGGTGGTTCTAACGGCTTGCCGAAAATGGGGAAAAAACACAGTTGTTTTTTAAGAAAATCAATTTGAAAACACGATTAAGACACATCGTGAGAATGAAAGGGGACAACTCACCCACGAAAATGTAAACAAAAGAGCATAGCATGATGAAAAAAGACGCCGAACTTGACGAAAACAAAATTTTATCGTCTAATGTTCATATTATTATTAAAGAGGAAAGATCAAAGTATTTTTGGGGTATTTTTTTACATTTTTAATCGTTCCTAGCACGTCTGAAATTTTTGTTAAAATATTTTTTTTTTTGGAAAAAAAAAAAAAAAAAAAAAAAATCATTTTCAATCATTTTTTCGATTTGATAAAAAAGATTAAAATCTTACTTTGATATTCTTTTAAAAGTCAATTATCATTTTTCAAAACTGATTTTAATAAAAAACAGATATTATACTGTTTATTTAAAATATTTTTGAACCAAGCTTAACTTAGCTTCTGCGCCGAAAAAATGTAATTTGAAAATAAAACAAAGCAGGTCATAACCTTTCGCGTCGCTTGACGATTGACGAAAGGCACATTCATGACGTTTAGATAACTTACGGGAGGGTAATTCTTTCTACGGATGGAAGGAAGTGAAATTATTTAAGTGAACAAATTATTTACCTCGTTACTTTTAAGGAAAACTTTCAGCGCTCTAATTTTTTTTTTTTTTTTTTTTTTTGTACTTAGCTTTCATTTTTACGTTTATGATGCTTTTATGGAAAATATAAAGAAATTAAAAAATAAGACTGTTAATAGTGAGATTAAATTTCATAAGAAAAAAGGTATCTAATTAATTTAGGTACCTTTCTTATGAAATTTTATCAGAAGTGTACATAAAATACTATAATTTTATGTACATTTATTACATTTTACTGTGTTATTTGCATTTCCATTCATTTTATTATTAATTTTGATATTTCATTTATGGAAAAATGTCATAACTGAGATTAATATAAAAATAAGATCATATAAATTAAAGTTTAGCAGTAGTTAAATTTCATAAGATGATACTGTTACTTGTAGGTACCCTTCTCAGTTGAAATTGAAAACTCAAATTAACTTCTCCATACGTGTTTCTTTGTCAATTTTATTTTTCAGTCTTTATGATGGTCGATACTTGATCTATCTCTTACTGTTACATACCCGGGCAATGCTGGGCTCTACTGCTAGTATATATATATCAAGAATGACACAATATAAGAGAGTTATTGAGAACACCACCACCACTGCTAAAAACATTTTTTTCAATTTAAATATGTCATTAGAATTTTGGGCAATGCTTAACCTATGTACCTGCAAAAAATGCACAATTTTTCACTTGTCATTGCTTTTACTGTATACAACTGTTGGCAAAGTTTATGGTTTTAAAAAGCTACATTTAGAATTTTAATAGCAAAAATATTACACTATTTAGTTATTAAAGTGTTTATGTACAAGAATTTACAATTTTATAAAAATGTGTATATTCGAATTAATTGAAAATTAGTCATTGTTTTTCACATTTATTTCTTTATAAATGGTAAATAATAAATATTACATTAAAGTTGGTTCACAGATTATTTTACAAGATTATAAAAATATAATGTATAAATATATAACTAAATAGTGTGCAACATTTTTGTTGCTACTGAAATTCTAAACAGTGTTTTAAAACAAATATTGCTAAAAGAGCACCGTTTTTTTAATCAATTCACCCCAAGCAAGGTGATAATGCCACAAAGACGCAAAGAGCTATTGGGAACAAATGAGAATAAGACTTTAGTAGAAACCAGAAAGCCAATCCTAAACAGGAAACAAGGGATAAACTCTTGTTTACTCCTCTTCAAAAACAACAGGCTCACACTCCTCCCTGGTTTTTTGAACCAGAGTAGTAGTTTATCCTTGTTTCCTGTTTAGGATTGGGTTTACAATTCCTTCTTGTTATATTCCATGCTAATAGGAATATATACTTGAAAAACACAGTGGATAAAATAAGTAAAGGTTTATTGTGAAAACCAATACAATAAGAATAAAGTTAACAGTTATGCACAAGGTCGTTGCAAGTCAATCCAGTAGTGAGTGCTACTATTGGAAGGGTGGTAGTTCTCACGTAAGTCTGAGTCATACTCAACAAATCCCAGTTAGACTGTAGTCCGTAGACTTACAGATACTTATAGGTAGTTACTACCTATAGTGTAGTCACTCATGGGGGTGACAGGTTATTCCATTACATCACTTCTAAAGTCTACTTCAATTCTATACTTTTAATGTCTGTCTAAACTATGAAATTTTATTTACTATTTATTTTTTTCTCTATAGGAATAGATGGGTTCACATATCAACAGTTCACATTCTTCCTCCAGTTTTTGAACAGGAATAGTGGTTTGCCCCTGGTTTCTTGTTTAAGATTAGCTTTCCTGTTCAGTATTGTCAACAGAAAATAACGTCCTTTTGACACACAATTTTTTTCCTCAGGTACGAAGGTTAAACAGACAAAAGTGGGTGGCGAGTATTAGATCAATAAAAAACACTCACCACACCGGGGAAAAGTCTCCGCAGATTTTCAAGTAGCTCTGCCTTCTTTATAGCTCGAGATGACTCATGCTTATCAACCTAAAAATAAAAAAACAAAAACAATTACTAATTCTGTCACATAATATTTGTACCATCTACAAATTTCATACACTAAATATGACTATTATTGGAGGAGATATGTAATATATTCAATGTGTTAGCAATTAAAAAAAAAAATGACATAGAATATATATGTACTTTGGCTTCGCCTAACTGCTCAACAACATCACTTAGTTCAGAGTTGATCTGCTCAATCCTGGCATTAGCAGTAGTTACTTCTTCCTCAAGTTCCCTAGCAGTCTTCTTCTGTTCCTCTACAGCCTGCATGCTTGTTCTGGAAGACAAAAAGGAATACAAAGTCATTCGCTTCTTTTTCTCCCCCCAACACCTCAAAGATTTGCATTCTGAGAATGATCACAGCTGAAAGGAAAGAATTTATTTCAAAATCATTCATCTTGTATTTATACAATTGGTTTTTAATTAGCCTAATTTTTTAAATAAAGTCAGTTTTAAAAATAATTCTATTAACATTATTTCATTCAAAGTTGTACACAAAAATATTTTGTTTTATTGGAAAGTATACACATTATATGTGCCTTGCCTTTTCTTGCCTAAATTACAAATAATCTTTCACACAAATATGGCAGCTGCAGAAAAAAAAAAAAAAAAAAAAAAAAAAAAATCAAGGCTGTGTTACAGATTTGAATTTTTTTTTTTAAGATTTAGATAATTTTTTACTGGCACACCAACTACCATGAGTCATTTCACACAGAATTAGATAGTTTTAAGATTTTATTTCATGTCTAAATAAAAGAATTTGTCTGCAAAATAGTCACATTTTGTAGCCAAGAGTTTATCTGGTTTCCCGTTTATATTTTGGGATAGAGTTTTGTTACTTTTAAGAATTCTAGAATGGCTTTGGTTTTGACACTATCAAAGAGTGCCCTAAGGTTGGGTACACTGTAGAAGTATTTTTGTATAGGTGCCAGTTTTTTTGCAATCAATCAAAAAATGTTTGACAGTGAGTACTTGAGGATTTTGGAGGGTGATTATCTTTTTAGGAGGAAAGAGTGGGTTATCTGGATGTGTCCAATTTTGATTCTTATAAGTGTAACATCTTGAGTGTCTGGTACTGTGATGTTATACAGTCAAAATTTGTTTTATTTGATATAGTTCATTGTTTGGGTGTGTATTGATTTTTGCCAATGCCATGTAAGAGTTAATTGTAGCTTTCAAGTCTGTAAAGGGAATTTTAATTTTTGAATTTGATATGTTCATTGAAAGGGATTCCTTGGCTGCCTTATCAGCCCTGCTAATTTTTATTTTTTTTTAGATGAAGTATTGTCAGCCATTATTATTGTGCATTTAGCATTTACTTTTACAGTGCATCCTTGATGATTCAAGATTCAATTTTCCAGAAGTAAAATGTAGAGAAAGACTGAAATCAGCTGAATATTTTTCAATTATCCAAAATAAACCTATTCTATTTAATTAATTGTATTTAATATTCCATTTCATTTCAGACAAGTGTTTTGAGAATTTAGAAAATACAATACTCAACATTTGATAAAAACAGTGCAATTTCTTTGTACGCATCTTGGTGCCACCAGAGATTATGGCTTACAAAAGCATGTGAGACATGTGAACCATGATTAAATGGGAAAATGGAATGTCTTTTCTTGCCTGATCAGCATGTGGCAAAGTAAAACTTATAACTGTGCTGTAAAATGTTGAAGAGGAAGAGGTTGATATTGGCCAGGATGATGTTCAATTGCCTCAATGCCAAATTCCAATAACCAAATCAATGATTATGTTTTGACAAATGTTTAAGTTGGTCGCACTTTAAGTCAGAAACAAGCCTTGCATTTAATTTAATCTTTGGGAGCTAGCGGCAGAATAATGCAACACCAGTCAGAAACTGATAAAAATTAACACTCTCCAACCCCATAAAAAAAAAAAAAAAAAAACCCTGGACAAAAATACTAGAACTATTAAAAAATGGTATTTCAACAAATGACTTTTTTTTTTTTTTTAAATCATTTAGGCATTCAATTTTCTGGAATTTTAAATTATTCAAACAGATTTTTTTCAACCCATAGGTTATTTAATGCCAAAACCTAAATATTTTGTACATAATTTTATTTTGGGGTAAGAGAAGAGTTGGATTCATACCTTTCTGAAGTGTATTTGTGCATAAGTGAATATAATGAACCCAACTGGAATTGGAACTCGGTTTTCTGATTTCCAATTTCAAGCAATTAAACATTATACTATTTGCATATCCAAGCTTACAGCACCTGGTATTCCCATGTGGTCACCCATCTAAGTACTGACCAAGCTTGACGTTTCTTAAATTTGATGATTGTACAGGAACCGGTGCTTCAACTGTCAGCCATATTTGACAGGTGAGAGAAAAAAAAAAATGCAAATAACATACAAGTCATCATGAAATATAGATGGAAAATTGATCAAGCGGGAAAGGCCAACTATAGTTAAGATGCATAATACTTGACCAGTATACTCAATATGCTTTGGCCTTGTGCCAGATCAATACTTACTTTATATAATCGTTAAGTTTCTCCACTCGTTTCTTGTTTTCTTCCATCTCATGTTTCTTCTGCTCGATTTTATTAACCATTTCACTTTTTTTACGTTCTTCATTGTCCCTTCGATCTTGATCCGATTTCTGTTCACGGTTAATGGATTCCATCTCTTGTAAGTAACGGGCAGCTTTTTTGCCACCTTCTTCTTTCAAACGATGGTACTCCTGAACCTAAAGTAACAAATGTTAACAGTTTAAAGAAATCTGCATCTGAATCAAGCACAAATGCTGCAGTTATAATTTCTAATATGAACAAAGCAAGTTTTGTACACACATCCACATTAAATAGCCTCTGAATAGAGAATTAAAAATTGTAATTGGAGTTTAGGTTGAGGAAATGTCATAAAAATTTAACTATATCTGGGAAATGTTATAAAAGAACAATAGAAAATGTGACACAGAAATCTGGAGATGGATTGGAAAGCAAAAGATACCTTCCAAAATCTAAACAAAGTATTAACAAACAGGAAGATTTTAATAGAAACACAGAAAAACTGCTAACAGTTATATAATATCAATCCTCTTACATGGCTGTGAACAATGGAAAATTTCCTCACAGATGAAAAAGCAACAGATGTAGTTCTACAGAAGGATGCTGAGAATAGTATGAACAGAACATGTAAGCAACAAGGAAGTTTTAAGGAAAATAGAAACAAGACAACATTTTTCTTAGGATCAAAGAGACATTTGAATTTTCTAAGACACATATGAAATGATAAATAATAAATATTTTATTATAGTGGGAAAGATAACTGTTAATCCTAGACTTGAAGAGCTTAAGAATGTAGTGGTTGGAAAAACATCCCCCAGGGATTCTGTCCCACAAAGTAACAGTTATTAGGAAGAAACTATCCAAGTGGAACTTACTCCTGACTAGAGGAATACAAAGGGAAAAGGGGAGTTAGCCTCAATGTACTTGGCATAGTGGGTCAAAACAGGAAGTGTTAGAGTTGGAGGAATTAAGGAATGTAGTACATTTGAACATTTTCCAAAGGAATAATGGTAAAGTAGTAAAAGCCATGAAAAGTTTCATCTATGAGAAAGTTTGAAAATTAGGAAAAAGGACAATATTAGTACTATGCAGTTAACAGTGAAATGGGCCCAGTTTCAAATTGGGTATGTGTAAATAAAAACAAGGGAATGATAACACTTAAAAAAAAAAAGATCTAGGATAGATTTATATCATCAACAGAACATACTTCAAAAAAAAAAAAAAAAAACAAAAACTGACAAATGTGCTTAGAGTAGGGGGTCCTCAATCATGTGGCAGAAGAGGATAGCAGGTGAAGTGGAATGATTGAAAAACAATCAAAGATTTAAAAACAGTTTTAAAAAAATATGTCAAAAATATTTAGATTCAAAATTTTAAATTATTATGGATTACTTGTAATTGCATGCAAAGATCACAGTATAAATAGTCATAAATAATTATTAACCAATTTTATCATGGTGATATTTTTTGCATTATATCAAGTATTAAGTAACTAGGCTCCATAAATTGGAGGAGAGAGTTATCAATGATGTCCCGACTTCGAATCCGCGATTATCTCTTGCGAAGTTTATTTTATTTTTAAATTTACTTTTTATCACATCTAATTTGGCGAGACATAAGCAAATTTTCATCCTGAAAATGTGGCCCAGAAAAAAAATAAAAAATTTGGGAACCTCTGCTGTAGGAGAAGGCCTAATGAAAACTACTTAACAAAAAAAAAAAAAAAAAAAAAATATTATATATATATATATATATATATATATATATATATACCCTAATTTTCCTAATGAGTGGAACACTTTCCACACAGTATTACTAGTAAATGTCAACATTAAAATTTGACTGGGCCTATTTAATAAATAAAAACAAAAGAAAGACAAACATTGTTCGGACTGTGTCCTCATCTTCATTGTCATATTCGCAACGTTTCAGCCATTGTATGCTCTGGCCTTCTTCAGGTGATTGGATTTTCAAACCAAACTCTTTATTTTGTCCACCTCAGTATCAGTTTTCTCTCTTCAGCAACTCAACTTTCCAAGTTCTTGTTCACCTGCTGTGGCAAGTATTGAACTCACAACTCTTTGGGTCAAGTCACTGGATTATGTCAACTAATGCTTTTATCCACTGGGCCATGTCTCTTTGGAACATGAAGGACTTTGTTTTAAATCAAATGTGTTTATCTATATAAAGATATATGGTTGTTCAAAATTCCAATCACCTGAAGAAGGCCGGATCGTACAACAGCTAAAATGTCATGATTATGGCAATTAAAGATGTGGACAACAGTCCAAACTATGTAAACAGTGTAGTTACAATACCTCATCTCAGAAATAGAGACAGAAACAAAAAGGTGTTGTATTATTTACCTGAGACTCTTCCAACTGAAGGTCTCTACCTTGGGACTGAGATTCTTCTTCTATGCCTTTTTCATATTCTTTTTTCTTTTCTTCAACTTCTTCAAGTTCTTTCTCCAGTTGGCGAATCTGCACATAAAAAAAAATAGTGGAACATTAAATTTACGAAGGAAAAAGAAACCATTGAAGGTTAATCTAAAGTGAATAACCAGAACACCTCTTTTACTGAATTATTAACAACACCCAAATGCAATGAAGTCAGAATAACACACACACACACACAAGTTTCATTAATTACGGTTAAGTTTTTATTTAATTTTTCCTTGTGTTCTTATAATTTTCTTCTTTTCTTGATATAAATTATGTAAAAATTGTCCAAATGTTTTGTATGTTCAAGGACTTTCACCTATACTTTTAACCATTATCAAAGATGATTTTCTTTTTACTTTTAACTGAATGTATAGATTATTTTGTGTGTGTATCTAAAGTTACAGGAATGTTTCCTTTTTCCAAACACTGTCAGCACATTGTGGCCATGTTCATAATTGATATTACTGAGTACTGGCCGTTTCGCTTTTATTAATAATGCTTCCATTATTTTAATTTTTTTTTTTTTAAATGTGGATGAGGCTAATTTATGTCCAGAAAAGAAGAAAATTATAAAAACACAAGAAAAATTAAATAAAAAACTGCAGTAACCTGTCAGTCATATTTAATGAAACTCATAAAAGAAGGATTGCTGCCCAAATACACAATATATATGTAGGGAGACCACAGTTGTTTCTCTTTGCATTAGCCCATGAGAGTTGTGGCCCTTTTAGTGAGTAGAACTCTTCTGCCTTTTTTTTGTCGTCACTTCCGTTTGGGAGGAACGACTCTTTTTCCTTCCTGACCACCAGAGCGTCCACACACGTGGAAACTGGTCAACATGTTTACAGCCTAATGCAACAAAACTCATTCACTCATCTGTGGACGACCAAAGGCCATGAAATTGGTAGGTGATATCTTTGTACCAATTCTGTTTAACCTCCTCGTTCCTTTGGGACAATATGGACATTATTTGTTTTGGGACATGTATAAATCTTGTGTGTATATAAAAAAAAGACTGCTTGCCACATTAAATTTTTCATTGGTTAAACTCGCGTATTTAAATTTTTTCATAAAAAAACATTTAAGTGTTAGTGTATCAATGGCTACTTTAATGCTAATATTAAAAATTTCCATGCTTTTGAAGGCTAGAACACAAATTATTCTACCTAACATAGAATAATTAGTAAACTCTATGTGGCAAATACACAACCTATACTAATATATATATATATATATATATATATATAAATACACACACACACACACACACACACACTTGTATGGCCAAATGTAAGGCCATATACGATAAAAGTTCAGATGTTTGAGAGCTGCAAGACATGAACAAAATTTACATACATTTTTGTTACAAAATTTTCATGTAAATATTAAATGCATGTATACAATAATATTTATTCATGTATGCAGTTTTTTTTTTAAACTGTTAATTTGCATTGGTTTCAGTAATCACAAAATACACACACATTTTATATACACACGCACAAAATATTTTCAAAATCCTGACTGATGATTGTTTTAACTATATTGAGTGTATTTAATACAGTAATAAACTACAGAAATTTACTTTTTATATTAACTGTAATGAAAAAAGGAGTTTATCCAACATACTCCCACGAGCTGCATATTAAAGGTCCAAGAGCCACATGTGGCTTGTGAGCCGTGATTTGGCTTTGGCCATCCCTGATACACACAGCAGTTTTACTAACACCAGCACTATATATGCCACACTAAACTAATTGAGTTTCTTTTTTCCAGGTTTTCAGATAAGGCGTTTAGCCATCTTGACACCATTTGTTGTAAGAATCACTGAAAAATCCTTTGAGTCAATCAGCTAGAAAGAGAACAGGATAAAGTCATTTTGTCTCAGCCCCACTCTCTTCCCAACAGAACAATAGTGAAAGGAAAAAGACCATTCAGGCCTTCAGTAATGATACCAACATTCATACTCTGGCTTCCATCTTCAAAGTCCATTCAAGAACCATTAAGAGAATGTTAAATAAGTTTAAAAAAGAGGGAACAATAGAGAGAAAAATTGTATCAGGAGGTCACAACAGAAAGAGGGATCATCATCATTTCAACTTTGACTTAAAGAAAAGATCCAACTCAATTTTCAACTATGACAGTCCAAAGAGCAGTGAAGACTTGAAAATTAAATCATACATGAAACCTCTGAGGCACCTTGTTACTCCAAGACAGAAAGTTAGGTTAGAGAGGGCAAAAATCATGTTGAATAAGTTGGAAAATGATCCTGGAATAACATTTGAACTTTATTTCAATCCTCCATGAGTTTCTGATCGTTAGCTATGATTAATTAATGAAAATGTCATTTTCGTTTGATTGATTTCATCACGATTCTTCTGTTATGTTTGGAGAGTAATTATACATTCTTATTGCAAAATAGATCTCAATAGTGTTATAAAAACCCCAAAGAATTCCAGTAAGATATCTTTAATCATTTCTAAGATACAACGGTTCAAAGCTTAATCTAACAATTGTACAATTTTGCTGTCACACCCAATGTGTGTGTGTATGGGGAGGTTGGGGCGTCTATGAAATATGGAATTTATTTTAATGGTATCCAAGAGGAGAAACTGCCAGTTAATAAATACAGTATGTATATAATAATGTTCTAAGTAAGAATAACTTAGACACACACACACAGAAATTCCCCCACCCCAATAGTTGTACTTTTAAAAGAGGTCCTGTTTTTAAGAAGGCTACTTACCTCAGCTTCATGGTTATCATATGTCTTCTTGGCAGACTTGAGGGATTTCCTACAATAAAACAAAACCAAATTTTAAATTGTGAAACCAATTACAAAACCAAGTGATAAAATCAATCAAATAAATGGCAAAAATATCAATTAAAAGGAACAGACTGCTTTAGACTTGGAATGTTAGATGAATTCCTCCAATGAACGATTGACAGTTGTTATTCCTTTATGACAAGTATTTCTTGTTTCTCTTGCTTTTTATTACACAAGTAGTATTAATATTGAAATTTCTGGAATGAAACCTGGACAATTAATATTCCTTTTCAATTAGGAATTCTTTCCACTTAATTTCAGTTGCATTTTATAGTAACTCTTCATTTCAAAATCATTAGTAAGAAGAGCTGAGGATCACAATTAAAGAAAAAGGCTTGTGAATGAGTTGCAGTATATTGGCAAAGACTTTACTCTTTACTTCTAATCCAAACTGCTTTCTAAGAAGTGCAGAATAACAATATGGAAGATGTAATAAAAAGAAACAAAAATTAAGATGAAGGCAATAAACAAAAAATATAAAAGCTTTCTAATGTTGTAATCAAAATGTTTGAAAGATATTTTAAGGATTCGAGATCATCTATGTTTTTCATAGAGATATAAACATTTTTCATTTGAATTTAGTCAAATGTCACAAAAGACAAATGTATCGTATACTGATAAAATTACATACAATTTTTTTATTTTTATACAAGACGATCACTAAGAAAAAAATCTACCAGACAAAAACTATTTTAGATATCGACATTCACAATGCAGTTTTAGAGCAAAAAAAAAAAAAAAAAAAAAAAAAAAAACCAAACTTCAAGTTTATAACGTGTTACAATATGTGCACACTTAGCCACATAGTGTGTGTTTGTATATAGAATAAATAAATTTGTTCCCCTTAGTTGTTGAAATGTCTAGAGAGTTTCATGGAATACCGTCTACTCATCTCATTTGACTTTATCAAAAATTGATGAATTTATTCCATTTATTATTTTACTCTTTTTCCTTATACCAAAGCATAATAAATGCAAAAACTGTTTACCTTAAATAAGTCATCTTCCAAAATTACTCTAGTTGATGGATTTTTTTTGGCAAAGTACAAAATGTGAGTGAGTGTGTGTGTGTTACTTCAAATGTCATAGTGAACATTCTTATTTGAAATACAGGACCTATTTTTATTTTAAACAACACATGTATTACATCTATCAGCATGCACATTCAAGATAACTTAATAAAATGTTCTCTGCCAGAGATTGAACCAGTGTCCTGTTTATTTCAAATATGACTGGCCACTATAATAACATTTGAAGCAATAAAAAGGTCATATTGAAAATAAATCCATTAATTAAATTTTTATAAATATATATATATTATATATATATATATATATATATATATATATATATATATATATATATATATATTTTATTGCTATTATTAAGTTCACATGTGAATTTAAGGAGAAAATTATTTTGGAATTGTTTTTTGAGTTGATGTATTTCTTCCATATTCTTGACTAATATAAGGATATCATTAATGTATCTTACATAGATGTGTATGAATTTCTGGGTATTATAAACCTAATGTCTTCAGCAACCATTTTTACCAGTGCTCATATTGCAATTTTTGCTGTTATCATTTCATGTTTTTACCAGAGCTCATATTGCAACTTTTGTTGTTATTATTTTTTTTTCTTAAAAAATTTATTACTGTTTCCCATATTGTATTCATTTCTATGCTTGGTCGGCTCAGGAGATTTTTGTGGCCTAGCATATGTGCTGACACAGATGTCCTCAAGGACACATTGCACAGTGGATAAAGGCATTGGTTAGACAGTGACAGGACCCAAAGAGTGTGAGTTCAATAACCAGTTAAGGCAGTGGAGGACTTTCAGAGGGAAATTAACAGGAGATAACTGATATCCATTAAACATGGCACATGGAACTAGAACAGTCTACCCCAGTGAGCAAAATAAAGGGTTAAGTCCAACATTCCAACCAACTGAAGAAGGCTGGAGCGTACAACGGCCAAAACATTGTAATAGATATGGCGACAAAGATGAGGACAATAGTCCGAATAATGTAAATAATGTAAATTAAATAGCCTATAAAATCTGAAAACAGAAGCACTTCCGCTCCAAAAATTTTGGATAAAGGATTCTCAACCTGTAATAATAAATTATTAGTGTGTCTCTTCAGACAACCTGCTGTTTCAAATGTGTACTAAATGTATAGACATTGTTTATGTGACAGTGGCTTCCCAAAACAGATTCTAAAATTCTATTCCATGACATTAACAGAATTTGTTCTGCAGAATTCAATCACAAAAAACCTTTAAGACCACTATCACTTGCCTAACCTCTTACCACATGCTCACCGTTAATGGAAAACATAGTGCTACCAAAAACCTTATTAATGGCTTCCTGTTAACTATACGCTGTTTACAGCATGTTGAAATTCTAAACATCCAAAGTTTTTCTTAGAAATGCCCATCAGAAGTATTATTTCAAATAATTCGGATCTAATAATTTTCACAAACTCTTTTATAATCACCCAAGAAAAAAAAAAAAAAAAAATCTGAATACATGAGTTATTTTGTTAGATGCTGTCTTTCACTAAATACCAAAATGACAGCTATCAAAATTTAGAACCATAACCCCGCCAACCACTTTCTTTTTAAAGAAAAAAAAAATTATAGATAACCTCTTTCTATGGTAAAAATGTGCATATTTCATGTTATAATGAGGTTATATTTTTTTTAACTGAGCAATAATAATAAAGTCATTTTCTAATTTCTATAGAGTCAATCTTTCAAGTGAACAAATGAATACACTTTGATTTGTCTAAATGCAAATCTTCAAAATGTGCAAGTTTTATGTGCCTTATAACATTGATTCGATGATAGAGAAAACCAAACAACTCATAATTATAATTGCTAGGTGTACATATTTTAACAAATCACATTTAGTCATCAAAGGTAAAATTAAATTAGACTGAATAGATTAAACTATTCAAGGAAAAAAAAAGGAAAAAGAAAGAAAAAAAAAAAACAAAAGAAAAAAAGGACAACTTGGTGTAGTTAAACTACAAAGTTGTTCAAAATGCCAACATTACTAGATTAGGAATTGACTTACTTTGCTGCTTCAAGCTTCTTGATCATGTGAGCAGTTTTTTCTTTAGCCTTGATGTATAATGGACGTTTCTTGTTCAGCTCGGATTCCTGAAGAATAAAACAGCAAATAGGTCCAATATAAATGTCAAAATAAGCAACAAGATTTTCTACTGGAAATTCACAAAAAGACGTTAACAATATTACAAGAATTTTTTTTAATGTTTTTTTTTTTTTAATTTATAGAGGCACCGTCCTTAATCATAATTAATAAATTAACTTTATTCCATTAAATATTCAACTTATTAGAGTAACCGAAGCAGACATTAAAAAGTATTTGAGAACAAAAATGAAACAATTCATAAAAAAAGAGGTAAAAAAATATATATTACCATAAAATGGTAATATCAAAATTAAACAATTAAAAACAGCTAATCCAGTTTATCAGTCCATCATCAGAGCAAAAATTGAGGAGAAGAAAAAAAAAATTTGGACAGTGACTTAAAAGATTATACAACCCCAGACGAATGTTATATGAAAAAGAAAGAAAAAAAAAAAAAAACCATTAAAGGCTAATTTCTCAGACATTCAGGCCAGTAAATGTTGTTTAATACTGTTTATTATAAACAGAGCATTTACTTAAATATTTGTATCTATAAAAAGAATGTATAAACATAAAAATGTCTTAAAATAAATAACTTTGTCCGAACATAACATATATATTATATATATATATATATATATATATATATATTATATAAAAAACAGTTATAACAAAAACGTTATAAACTGCTACATAAATGCAATGTTTCAACACTGTCTCCACTGCCTGAGGGAAGACAGTGTTGAAACATTGCATTTATGTAGCAGTTTATAACATGTTTTTGCTACCTGAAATAAACATTATTAAGCTCTACTCTGTAATGAGCACTTTTTAAAAACATATGTCTGGACATTGGTACTAACCTACTCACACTTGGCTATATATATATATATATATATATATATATATATAAACATTTATCAGAAAAGAAAGAAAAGTTTAATAATTGATCTTGTACTCACGGCTTCTTTGATGTGTTGCTCAATCTTTGTAAGATCTCTACTTAGTTTTCCTTGCTCTTTCTTTTTTTCTTTTATCTCATCTTCAATCTTATCTCTCTTCTTCATTTCACGATCCAAACCTGCATTTTTCATGTTCAGTTCTTCATTAAGTTCTTTAATGTCTTTCTCATTGTGATACAGTTTGAAGAGTTGCAGCTGAAGTAGTTTTTCTGCCTATAAAAAAAAAAAAAAAAAAAAAACAGCAACAAAATTACAGATTATAAACTACAAGTGTGGGGGGAGGGGAATGAAATAATTTAGTTTTTATTACTCAATTGTAATGCTTTTTTTCTTTTAAGATTAATTATTGAAAGACAGTCACCACCCCAATAAAATGTTTTATCATTTCTTTCACATTTTTATTTAATGCAAATTATTCCTGTAATTTTTTTTTTAATACTGAAGTAAATAGTTTTAAAATACAGGATACTGGGGAAAAAAAAAAAAAAAGAAAAAAAAAAGCAAGTCCAAATTCTGAATTCAAAATATCTTTTTCTTGCAGAAGTTGCCTTCACATCAAAGTTCACATTTGGCTGACATGACCCAGACTTAATCAACTGTAAAATGTCTTATTGCTGCTTCCAGCCAGATATGCCTTTCTTGCTTGACAATAAATTTTCTTTGTTTTGTGATCTTTGTTGAATACAAGTCATCATCATGATGTTCTAATTAGAAATAAAAGGTTTTCTTGGAGTTTTTATGACCTACTTTCACTATCAGAGTTTAATTTAATTGGTAGCAAATAAAATGGTAATATTATTTATAGCTATTATTTCATGTGAAGTTCACTACAGAAAAATTAATGTGTTTGAAATTGGTCATAAATATTATACTATTATAATATGGCAGTTGGCCAGTTGAAAATTTGCGTTTTAATACTCACTGGTTAGTTTCAGAACATATATATTTTTTTTTACTTTCCATCAGCATGGCTGATGCTAAGCGCCAGGAAAGTGTCTCATTGCCCCCTTCTTGGGCTAAATTTCCACTGACATGAAGTGAAACGATTATAGTGAATCATTTGCTAAGTCTGCTGCTAAGAGTTTGTTCACTGTGTCATGCTAGACAATTTCGCTTGCCAGAATTTATCTTACACATTTATAAGCCTACCATTCACCTATGTATGGAATACCGCTGACATATCTGATCTGGTACTCCTACCATTACTTAGAGATTCTTGATAAAATCCAAAGAATCTGCAATGCTATCAGTCCGAACATATTTTCAGTCACTTTCTCATTGCCGTAACAGTTTCCCTGCACCTTTTCTATAAAAATGTTCATGGTAATTGTTCTAATAAGATTTCTTCATTGGTACCTTGACTTTACAAATTTAACTGCAGAACTAGATTGGCAACTAGGTCACATCAATTTAGTGTTGAAATGGCTAGATGTAACCCTAAGTTCTATGCTAACAGTTTATTCTCTCTTAGTTGTAGAGCTTTCTTCCAGTTGATTGCTTTCCAATCAACTTCATCTTCAAAAATTTAAATGCAATGTCAACTGGCATCTTTTGTCTCCTAAACTCCTGTTCTTTTATTGACCTCTCTCCTGATTAATATTTTTCGTTTCCACATATTCTTTCAAACTGAGTAACCTCTTTGCATCTTAATAGGAAAAAAAGAAAAAAAAAAAAAAAAAAAAAGGTCCTAAATAACTCCTTACTACAGCAACAATAAAGTTATATACTAATGAAAACCCTCCTAAAATATAAGGTATTTTTACATTTGATAACCAGCTTACTTCAGCCATAAACAAAAAACTCAAGTTTTGGATAGTACAATGAAATGATTAACATCAATTTATCAGTGAGCAGATAATTTAAGAATTATTATGAATAAATTACAATAATTTGTCAAGTTTAAAATAACAAAAAAAAAATTCTATTTTGACTATATTGTTAGAAAAATGGGCAAATAGCCCATCTATACATGGTGGACCCTTCTGATGATGTAGAAAATCCTGATAACAAAAATATTGTCATACATTTATTTACTCAGACCAATGTTATACTAGTTGTTTTGCTCTATCTCTGGCCCTTTTTAAGCATCTGCCATAATTGGTAATTTTCCAGAAATGGTTCTCCCTGAGCAACCAATGCAAGAGAATATCTTTTATCAGTTAACTCTTCCTTACAATGTCACTTCCACTGAACCATAATATATATCTTTCATCACTACCTGATCCAAAAACTGAACTCACAACTGCCAGATAACTAGTGCAAAGCCAATGATTTTATCTGTTCTACAGGACAATTCAGCAGTGAAAGCACAAGTTTGAGGAATTATTGTATGATAATAATTTTTCATATTTCAAAATTCCATGCATCATACACGTGTGTGTGCGTGCACACGTATGTATGTTAACATGGTTTAACATCGTCAGAGGAGACACATTTATGATGTTGAAACATAAGTGTCATTATGTAGCAATATTTATCAAGTTTTTATATATATATATATATATATATATATATATATATATATATATATATAGTCATCCGCAGACAGACTGATTCGGTGTATCACAGCTCTTCATGTGGCTAGTTGTCCAAGTGCATCAAGCCAGGATAGAATATTTTAATTTCACTTCTTCTTATTAATAACTGAATTTTTTATTTCCAGGTAAACTGACATCTGACTGTTCAAAGTATACTTCAAATGCCACTACTAGCAGCTTCTCTTGAAAATGGACAAAATTTTGCATTGTGGTGTTATAATGTATCTGTAGAAAAAGGGTTTATACACCAAGGACACTCATGCTGACACAGTTGCTACATTAGGGGAAGATGCTCAATCTTTATCAACAGTGCAAAAGTGGGCACCTGAATTTAGAAGAGAGGCCCTTGAAGATGAGCCAAGCTCCAGTTATCCTGCAACTGCCACCAACAAGAAAAAAATTGTTTGGTGTTCACCACATGATGATGGATGACAAGTGATTAACTATAAATCAAATAGCCAATGCTATTAGCATATCCTGCGAGAGAGTTTAAAATATTCTGCACAATGAACTTGTCATGACAAAGGTTTCCGCTCAATGGGTTCCAAATCTTCTGACTGGAGAGTACTATGCCAGCTTACTGAGGCAGTTACAAAAGACTATCAAGAAGAAATGCTAGAAAAACAGACAAAAGGAGACTTGTTTCATCAGGACAATGCTCTAGCACACAAGTCCTTGGTTTCAATGACTGTTGTGCATGACTGGCTTTGAAGTGGGTGATGACACTCCTTATCTGATTTGACTGTCATCTGTCCACCAAACATGGAGAATAAAATAACACTTGGCTGGGAACCAGCACCACAGTGATGATCATGTTATTAATGACTTTTTTGAACAACAGGATGAACAGTCAGATGCCAGTTTAACTAGAAAGAAAAAATAAATTATTAATAAGAATTGAAATTAATGTATTCAAGATTACATAGCTCTAGTATTACTCATTCATAGTCAGCCTATGAACATTTCAGCCCACCCTTGTATCTCCTGCTGAATGAACAGAGGGACTGCTATCAGATTCATCAACAAAACTCTAGAATAGGGATGTTGAAGTGACAAATTTTATATCTGTATTAATTCTCTCTCATTTCATATATACACATACATACATCTGCACATTATATATATATATATGATCATTCGTGTTGATTTGAAGTTTCGTACATCTTCATTACACCTTCAATAATAAGACTTCTGACCAAGAAAGGTGTTTTTGTTTCTGTTTGTTCCACAAGCAAATCAAAGTCAAAATAGTACACAACCCACAATTGCTTACCAGTTGTTCTTTGAGTTTCTGATATCGTTCAGCCTCTTCTTTTTCCAATTTAGCTTCTTTCTTCTCAGCAGCAATGCCTTTCTTTTTATGATAATTAAACTGAGTATCTTCCTCTGCTTTCAACATTTCAGCCTTGGCTTTATCATATTCTTCTTTCATTTCTCCAGATCTGCATGAGAAAAGATTAAAATTCCATTTGACTGACCACAAAGAAACAAAGATAAAGAACAAAAAAAAAAAAAAAAAAAAAAAAAAACTGAAATCTTACCAAATTCTAACAGAAATGGGAGATCAAATCTGTTTTCCAACAGTGAGGTTTTCAAACACCCCATTTAAGTTTTTAGAAAAAAATTGAATTGACTCTTGCTTTCTATAGCATCAATACAAATTTCAAAAATTCTTTTATTTTGAAAAATCAAACAAGTTCTTAACTTGTCTTCTTAATTCCTGTTCTTTTATTGTTCTCTTTAATGAATTTGTAATTTTGAAAAATTAATTTTATTCTATTTTTAGAAAACAATTAAAACTACTTGAAATTCCTAATTATAACTAAAACTAGAAACTCTGTAGTTGACAGATGGTCAGAAAACCACTTGACTAATCTAAAATTTGACTTGCCACTTGCTAAATATATAAAAAAAAACAAAAAAAAAAAAAAAAAACATTGTGTTGGTGGGGAAGCACTCTTTAAACCTCACCCCCACAGTATTAATACAGGGTTAATATATCATTTTATCAAAGAAAATTTAAAAACTAAACTAGTTTTTAAGACAAGAAATTTTATGAAATTTAAGGAGGTGATATCAAAGGTAATGAATGAACATTGTGAACTGCCATACATCCCAAGAGCTGGCAAATATTGATAAACGGACTGTGGGCAAATCTAATATGAAAATCTGAAAGTAACAAAAGGGTTCATCATCTAGGACATCTTTTCAAGCTTCACAAAATCCATTGCAAATTGAATGCATGTCCACATGACATGCAATCTCCCCCACAAACTCTAAATTGCAAAAAAGAAAAAAGAAAAGAAAATTGGGGTAGCCATTTTGTCCAGTTTCACTTGGCCATCTTTACATGATGAAAGCCAGGTCACAATGACCGAAACATTGTGATAACAAAGATGAAAACAGTCCACATGTCAATGGTGTAAAGAAATCCAGACAAAAAAAAAAAATCTTTAGTTATTCATTGTTTGAAATGAAGGAAGCAGGAAAGAGTGAAAAAGAAAATAGACAAATTTCAAGAATTAAGATTTACAACAGTTAGACACAGGTGAAAATTATTTTTATGTATAAATGATAAATATGTTTAAAGCATCAATCTTATTTGGTGAATACAATATAAATAATGTATAAACTACAATTTAATCATTATTTTCATCAGGAACTTGTCAATCCAGGTAACCTTAAGGAAATCTTGAACTGAACCTTTATTCAATCTACAAGGGTTGAATGTTTTGCACTCCGCCGACCATGTCTATGGATATCTCATTTAATTCTTATTTAGTACTGCTCAGTTCTTGATTGCCCTGTTTTCAATGAGTCCAAGTATGCACTGCCTGGCCCAGGGATTGAACTCATAATTACAATTTCATTACTAATTCATAAACCAGCACTTTAATCCACTAAGCAATTGTCCCATGGGCAAATAATAAGAGTTCTACACCCCAGAAGTTCAGACAGAGATAATATCATCGTCTTAACTCTTCAACAACCTTGTATTTATTGTAAGGTCTTGTAATTATTATATATACTGGTTCATTAGGCTTAATTTCAAAAAAGGAAATGTTTCAAGGGTGTTGATTACACTTACGTTCCCCAGGTGTTTACTGGGTGTTGAAGACAGTTGATTGAGAAAGGTCAGAAGTTCAAGATATTGTGTTAAAAAAAGAAAAAAGGATGGGGAAATTGATTATGATGAACCCTTGAATGACAGTAACTGTCAGAAAAGTTAATGAAATAGTTTGACTCGAGTTCTTGAAATTTTAAATATTTTTATTTTTTTCATAAGCTTAAAAAAGAAAGATCTTGAAATATGTGATATAATGTCAAACTTATGGCTGCTTGCATGTCCAATTCTCAAAGCCAAAAGAGAGACCTACCTGCTGATTTCTTCAAACATAGCAGTACGTTCCTTGGCATTTTTCATGGCAATACTTTCCACAGTTCCTTGAAATACCAAAAAGTTTTTAGATTTCACAAGAACACCAATTTTTTCTAATTCTTGGGCATATTGGGCCGATGAAACACCCTGAATAGAAGAACAAATAAAAACGATTCAGAGTGAATAGTAGAATAAATTAATTAAAACTTTCTCAAGACACAAATTGACAGATTAACACTTTCACTTCTCTACAACAGGACAGATAAGAACAATGTTAATTTGATTCTATTTCTTAAATTTCATCTGAAATTGTTTCCAATCAGATTTAGATTTAACTACATTTGTTTTACCTTGACTTTACAAATTGAAGCGCAGTACTAGATTGGCAGACAAGTCTTATTTTACATTTGAAATTGCTAGATGTAACCCTATGCGAACAGTTGCTTCTATCTCACTTCTTGCTTGTGGAAAATTCCTGTTCTTTTATTGTCCTCTCTCCTTAATGATTTTGGTCACATTCTTTAACTTTTAGTAATCCCTTGCATCTTAGTGGCCTTACTGTCTTGCTTGGGATGAAATGATTAAAAAAAATAAATAAATAAATAAAAAAATTTAAGTGTTTAATATTGAATAAATACAAACAAATATTCAGGGTGTTGCTGTAGAATTTTTCCATCATTGTATATATTGATTCCTGCCATTTTTTTTAAATCATCAACATTCTGAAATCTTGGATAATATTTAATTTAACTGTGGGTGAATCTCAAAGTTTTCAAATATCCATATTTTGGGGAAATCTGGATTTTTTTTTCTTTTCTTTACACTGTGTTTTAATGAATTTTATGTGATGAATTATAATAAATTTTGCTAACGTTTATTGCTCTATGATTCCTATTGCTCATACCATAAATGTAAATTTTTTTTTTTTTTGTTTAAAAAAAAAAAAAAAAAAAAAAAGGGGGGGTAATTTTAATATTTTAGGATATTTTCAGCTTGATATCAGACAAATAAAAGTATAAAGATTTGACTTAACTTCATAGACACAAAGTAAGGATCCAGCCTAGTATTGTACTTATATTATAAATCAACCCCCACCACAAGAAACTTTACAACTTTGGATTTTTTAGTGGTCAGTTCTAGCTATTATGTTATACAACGACAGAGAGAAAAAGATTTGGTGAATTATTAAATTACATTATTTATATATTAAAGCAATCAAATAGACAAAACAATAAATCAATAATAATAAAACATAGGTCATACTTTTCCATTAACTTTATGATCTGATGCAGAGCCATGAATAATTCTTGTAAATTTGGTTTCTTTATGGCTTTCGCTGTCAATATAAACTGCTGACACAACAGCTTTGTTGGATGCAGGTTTACCAATAGGAGCGCCATGGATCAAATCCTGTAATCAAAATAAACATACAATTAAAAAAAAATTTCTTTAAATAGATATTATAAATACAAAAATTATGCTCAAAACCTAACATTGTAAATATGATTAAAAACATTTTAGAACAATTTCTTTTCCATGTAACATGCATGGCCTAGTGGATAAAAACATTGGTAGAGTCATCCAAAAAGTGACTTGACAATTACATTCTATATTAGACAGCCAAGTCATAATGTAGTGAAGACAAAACTGGGGGTCAAAGAGACAAGCAAACATTTTAGTTTCAGTTTGAGTTAGCTATTACACCAGTGTTGTTGGCTTAAGTAATTCAAAGAAATTTTTCCTTACATTTCGAATATTATTTACATTATTTAATTGAAATATTTATTTTGTGTTGCTATATTATTTTTTATGAGTAATTTGTATTTTTTTTTTCTTTAAAAAACAAACTATTTTAGTTTCCAGTTTAAAAAAAAAAAAAAAAAAAAAATTTATCATTCAAACGTAAAATAGAAGCAAATAATATTTTTGTATTACAAAAATGAATGGAAAAACATTTAAGAATGTTTTTACATAAATTTAATTAAATTCTAAATATTAAATTCAGTATTTATTTTTGATATTGTAAAAAAAACATTGTGAGTGTGAATGAAATTAATCCTACTGCCCAGTCATTTTTTCCAGGGTCTTATAAAGTTTTTAAGAAGTATGGTAAAAAAAAAAAGTTAGCTTAGTTACAGACTCAATATTTCTCCATTAAAAAGTTTATTCAATGTTCTTGGAGAACAAAAAAAAGAAAAGAAAGAAAAGCAAACAATTACACTTCAAAAACAAAATCTCTTGTTTATGTCCAGTATATTTGTTTCTGAAAGTTAAAAAAAAAGTACAATTCTTTTTTTACCATTTTCTTTTTGTTATTGTGAACCTGATTTACTTATTAAAATTAAAGAAAAAAATGACTTTAATAAACAATATTAAAGTTAATGTCTAGTTTTTAACAGGCATACATCTTTTCAAACATGTTTTTCTACCCTTATTTTTAAATTTTATACTTCGAAATTTTATTAAAAATAAGTTACTTTAATATTTTTTCTCTAATATTATTCACAAAGAAAAAATGCATTCATAGAATTATTTTTTTATCAGTTATGTTTTTCAAGGTAAAATAAACAAACAAGTTACAAATTTAGTTTATTTTTTTAAAATTTTCCATTAAAGTCATATTCTTATTACAAAATGAATGAAAAAGCCATTTAAGAATGTTTTTACATAAATTTAATGTTATTTAATAAAATATTTAATTCAATATCATAAAAATGCAGTGAACGAAATATTAACCATGCTTGCTGCTCTGTCATTTTTTCAGGTAAAAGTATTTATTTATTTACTCAAGTTGAGCATGAAAGTAATTTTTGACACAAGAAGGCCAAGATTAAAGTGCACTGCAGTGGACTGCTTCACCATGAGGCCTTGTCTCAAAAATAGCCAAAGCTCTCTCCCTCAGGCACCAGACAAAACCCCCAATTCCCCGACTTTTAAATCAAGGGGGAGGTGTTGCCTGGAGCCAAGCAATAGTTGATCTTCTGCTGACAAGTGTCAGAAATTTAGATACTTAATCCTCAGGTTTAAAGCAACCCTCTAAAATTTCTGCTTTTAACTTATTGGTATAGGAGGGATGTAAAAGTTGCGATTAAAGTATAGTTAATTTGGCTTGAAAAGTTACCCCTAAATTGAAGCAATAAAAGAAATAATTGTGCTTAATCATTTCAAATATTACCTAGTTTCCAGAAATGCCCCAGAAGTTTTGTGTTGTTGCTTGCAAAACAAATTAGAGGCCAGCAACACAAAACTGTGTGTAAGATGAATAAAATATCAGTTTATCATTTTCCAAAATACAAAGATGAGAGAGAGCAATGGAGAAAATCAGTTCCAAATGCCTATCTGAATGTTACAAACAATACAGTTATTTGTCAACTACATTGGCCTTCAAATTTTTATACCATAAAAGTTCATGGAAAAATGCACCTCAAAAATCCACCATCTGTATGGCCAGGTATGACAAATACCAACACCCTCTGCTGTTCAATGGCATATAAAAAAAAAAAAAACCCAAAAAACCTCCAGTACTGCTCAAAATCAAATTGATGAAATGAATGTTTTTTAAAATTAGATAAGATTAATCATACAAATTTTAAAGAAAATCTAATGAACAACAAAGATCTTGTGTGTCCAGTTGCAGCATTTTCAGCTGAAAATATTTTAACTGTTCAGTCGTTGAAAGTTATCCCTCTCTTTATGCTGAGAATTTATAAAAATTTGCCTTTGAAACTTTTCATTATGCAGTTAAGTGTTATATTAGAAGCCTGTCTAAAAACCGTATAAACACAGTTGATACTTGGTCAACATTGGAAGAAATTATCCAATATTTAAATTCTATGGCTTTTAATCACAAGAAAGATATCTTGAGTCAACACTTTTCAGCAATGGTCCCCAAAATGGTTGGAATGAAATACAGCTAAGATATAGTAATATGTGCTTTTGAGTACTACACAACATCACGGTCACTGTATAACAGGATTTTCAATTACCATCATTAGCAACATTAAGAAGAACGACATCAAGTTTCAAAACTTAATGAAAAATCTTTTTTTTTGCTATTTGTATTTAATACTCTTAATGCTAGTCAAAAAGGGTGCATAATTCTCCATGATGAAGTATATATCAAGAAAATGTTACTATGGTAAATAACTATTTGGTAAGTCTGTTGACAATCCATCTACTTGCTCAAACAGTACTTGGTATAATGTTAATGTCTTAATGGGAGTCCAAAATTTCTTACAAGATTGATTCCAATTTCCAAATTAAGATCATCCTTTTTGTTTGAACAAATTGAGTTAACAGTTTAGGCCATCACCTCTGCACTAGCTGATGTAAAGGCTATTATATATGATGGCAACAGAGTAGATCAAGCTTTTTGTAAATTATATCCCACACTCCCTGAAAAACCTTGGTTAACTGAAGATAATAAACACTTGCTTTTTGATTATGTTCATCTGTAAAAAAAAAAAAAATCTCAATTTTTGGGTCACAGAAAAGACCAGAGAATTCATTTTTGATAATAATAGAGTAAAACAAGTTGCAAAATTGGCATATCATAAACAGCTATATAGTTTTGAATCTGAAAGACTAGTTAACTTTCAGATTTAAATGAAATTTGTATTGCTCCAAAGCCCATAGAAAGACAACAGATTTTTACTTGCCTCAGAGTGCTTTCAGAATAAAACAAAAACATAATGCACTTCTCACTCAGTTTGAAATAAGTGCAGATAAGAATGAAACTGTCATCTCCATAAACAAGGTTTTGACATGGTGGAAAATTTTAAATGCTAAGATCCTTCAAATTGATAAACTAGGCAAATAACATTTTGACCCATACCTGTTATTCTAAGTATTTTCCAAAATAGTTAACAATTTTTCAAAAAAAAAATTTCTGAAAAATCAAACATTTTTCAATAGGCCTCCAGTTCTGGCTCTCAGTTGTTCCATGAGCAGGCCTAGAGTATAGTATGCCATGGACTTGATCCAAAGAGTAATTACTAAAAGGGATTAACTGATACGAAGATATCCAAAAAGGCATAGCATGTCAAATTAGAACAATCTACTCCCATGGACTGATAGGTTTGGTTTAAAATTCCAATGTATATCACCTGAAAAAAGTTTGGGTTATATAATAGCCAAAATGTTGTGAATATGGCAATAAAGATGTGAACAAGTCTGAACTGTTTAAATAGTTACAATACTTCATCTCAGAAATAAAGACAGACACCTTTTCTTTCTTTAAAAAGAATATACATGATTAATTCGTTTTCTACGGCCTATCAATCCTTTGCAAGTTATTTAAAGCCAGAAAATATTTTTAGATCATAAGAATTTTTTTTTTTTTTTTGAGATAATGGTTTTAGTGATACAAGTCTTACCCACAGCTAGGAGGAAGGTGGATTCTTATCTTTCCCTGAGGGTAATTGTGCATAAGTGAATATAACGCACTTAACTACACCACCCACACAAACTTACAGCACCTGATATTCCCAAGTTATTACCAATCTAGGTACTGACCAGACTCGACATTGCTTATCTTCAGTGATTGTACAGGAACCAGTGTTTATGTAACCATAAACAAGTATATATATATATATATATATATATATATATATAAATAAATACCTTTCCAGAGATTGTAAACTATAGATTACTTGAAAAAAAAAAAAAAAAAAAAAATCTGTTATACATGGGAGACTAATTATATGTGCTAGTTCTAAAAATGCCATACTGCAACCCACACCTTTTTTTTTTTTTTTAACCATTACCAGGCTGGAGTCAAAAATTGTTGCTGTAGAATTCTCTCCCTTTGCAACTGTAGGTGCATTCTGTCACCTTAAGACAGCTACTTTAATAAACACTTGTCAACTGTTATTTCTGGTATTTTAAGCTGGAAATTGTCTACTACTGCTTTGGAACAAGGCTAAACTTTCGTTATCCAACACTATTTTGAATTCTTTTAGAATCTACACCAAGTGTAACATCAATTAAACCCACGTTAAATTTTTTTTTCAATGTTTTATAAAAAAAAATTACCACAGCAACACCCAACGAAACCTTTATTCAGGAGTTTTTCTTTGATTTGGACTCCAATGATGATTTTGAAGGCTTTACTCAAGTGAATATTAACGGTGAAGTGGTGGAAGATGATAACCATGCTAGTGACATGAATAATCCATGGATGACTAATTTTATGGAAAGACCATTGATGATGACCACTAAATTATTTTGTACTATAATCCATCAAGACATTATATATATATATAATTTTATGGAATATATATACACACACACTTGAAAGAAAAAAAACCAAATTGATGTACTTTTGATCCAAGAACTCCACAAGGAGATAAAAGCCTTTCATTATTGAAAAGTAGAAATTATTTTTTTTTCTATTTATAAACAGGTTGTTGATTTTTTTTTTAAAACGGAAAATAACTGAGTTTAATTTGTCAAGAAAAGAGTTGTATGATATATATATATATATATATTATAAATTAATTGATTTAAAATCAAAATGGTTATTTTCGCTACACAGTTCCAACCATGTTTCAAAAATAGAAGCTAAAACCCAAAGTAGATAATTAAGATTTTTTGCAAATAAATTAAAAGCATTAGTTCCATTTCATCTTCAAGTCAAGACGGGCTGTTTTTTTTAAGAAAAAAAAAAGAAAAATTAATTTTGTTTTTTAAAATTAACCACGCCCGCAACAAGAGGAGAAAGGATGTTCGATCAATAACAATTGGTCGGTTTTCAAAATCCCACAGCTAAAATCACGTTTCCAGAAAAGAAATGAAAGAAATTATCAGAATATTCTACTCAAATTGAACATGAGGGTAGGGGTCAATAGATTTTCTTTTGAGTTATCGAGAAAACCCTATGACAGTAAATCATTGTCGACAGAAATCAGTTTAGAGTTAGTTGCATTTTGGTGGAAGGGATAGGTGAGGATGTATTTTACACTCAGACAAGAAAACCTGACGAGAACTTCCAGCCCAAGTAGACGAAGAAGAAGATTTGAAATGGATGGAGATGCGTCTGAATTTAAAAAAAAAAAGAACCTCAGACGATAGATATATATATATATATATATATATATATATATATCGGAGAGAAGAACACTAGTCAGGTGGAAAGTGAAACTGAAAAACCAAACAAATGATTCTGGTGACATTTTCCTCGTTTGTAAGTACAAGGAATTTTGCATCACTTGAACATTTGATAAAATGTTAAGTTTAGTTCGTGAGTTTCATTTTGTCTGTCTAAGATCTAAACACAGCTGGGTAGACAGACCGAGATCGGTATTTGCTTTAGTGACCAGGCATTATTGCATCCAAGCAATTTTGTTTAGTGTCGAGGTTTTATTTGGTGATCCACAAAAGGAGCTGGGGAATAAAAGTTAACGACCCAGGAGGAACAAGGGATCCAACACTGGGCCATGTTAAATTGCTAATGTATTTGTCTTTGATCTTTTGCTTTTTATTTTGCATTTCAATATCAAAACATAATGCATTGCATCAAAATATTACTCATCCATTCTTTTATTAGTACACAAAAATAAAATCTATACACACAATACAAAGAAAGTTATAAAAAAAAAAAAACAAAAAAAAAAAAACAAATGCAGTGGGAATAATTCTAGAAAGAATTTAGTATGCTAAAAGGTTAAATTACTAATAATTAAGTGCCCTTCTATAAGTTTTAAGGCAAACAGGAACAAAAACGATGCTTTTTCTTCAGGTTAGAAAGTGACAGGACAGTTAAAGAATCAGACACTCACAGGATATACTGAAGGCAAAAAGAATAGAGGAAAGAGTAAAATATCTAACAAGTTTGTGTTAATGGACAGCAGAAAATAAACAGGGACAGAGAGTAAAGGTTCAAAGGCAGACGAGATGGATTCATACCTTTACTAAGGGTATTAGCACATAAGTAAATGTAATGAATGACTCTTTTACTCAATCCAAGCCACTATCCATTACTCTATTATGCCTTGAATCACACTGTAAAAAAAAAAAAAAAAAGACATCTACTCAAACTCCAGTATCCACTAAAATAAGGTTTGGAGTAATAAGAAATAATGTTAGATTTAAAAAAAAAAAAAAAAAAAAAAAGCAGTTCCACAGAATACACGCACCACCATCATCCCCTAAAGCAGGCATGTCAAACAAGTGGCCCGCGGGCCACATGCGGCCCATTTCAAGTAGATTTGCGGCCCACACAGACAATATTAAACAGAAATAAATTAGAAATTTCCACTATTTTTTATATACTTTTTTTAGTAGTTCATCTACTTTTGCATCTCCAGTCTTATAAACAATTGAAGCGGCAACATGTAACTGTCTATATTTTTGTCAATCACTCATTACATATACGCACATTGCAAAAAGAGATAATCAGATGGCACGAGAGATACATAGGTCAAGGACAAGATGAGAGGAACTGAGATGCAGCAAAGGTCAAACAGATAATTGCAGACTCATTAAAGGTGAGCCGGTGGTGAAGTATTGGGAGCGCTTGCTGGCCACACAATATATAATTAATTTTTATTATTATGTCATTTTCAAATAAAAGGCCTTATTGTTTGCATTTTATTAAATTGACTTTAAACTAAAAATATGAATCAGGTAATAGTGTGCAGGAGTCAGGTTCTTTGTTTTATTCCACTTTTATAGATATATATATATATATATTTTATTATATATATATATATATATATATATATATTTTTTTTTTATTTCTTAATTTTTCAGATTCCACATCGTCTTTAAAATACGAAAATTCAGAAAGAGAATGTCACTTCTGTTACTGCAAGTTATGAACTCAACTGAATGATAGCGACGAATGCTAAATCCTACACTGAAGGGGATTTTGTAAAACAATGCCTTGTAAAAACAGACGAAATTGTATGTCCAGAAAAAGCACACTTGTTTAAAGATATTTCACTAACCAGGAACACTGTTGCTGAACGGATCAATGAAATGTCAAGTGATTTGAAGCAACAGATGAAAAGCAAATCATCCAAATTTGAACATTTTTCTATTGCAATTGATGAGACTTGATATTTCTGGAATAGCACAGCTTGCGATTTTCATGAGGGCCTGTGACAATAAATTAAACATTTATGAAGAACTGGTTGATCTGATCCCTATGCATGACACTACAACAAGCCAGACATCTTCGAGAAAATTGAACAAATTTTTGATGAGTATAATTTCAATTTAAGCACATTTGTATGCTTGTCTACCGACGGTGCAGCAAATATGATTGGAAGGCATAATGGTTTTTTTTGCCAAGTTACAAGCAAAAATAAAGAACTTACATCCAGATTTGTCAGTTACACATTTTCACTGTATTATTCATCAACAAAATTTATGCTCAAAAATTTTTAAATTGGATCAAGTGCTTTATTTAGTCACAAGCATAGTTAACTATATCAGAGGCTGTTCTCTCAATCACCGTCAATTCAACCAGTTGTTGGAGAATATGGGTAACCACTTTACTGATGTTCCATTTTATACAGATGTGAGTTGGTCGTCATGTCACAAAGTATTGAAAAGATTTTATTTATTAAGGCAAGAAATAATATTTTTGGAGATGAAAGGTCGAAACACCAATGAAATAAAAGATGAAAGTTGGCTCCAGGATCTAGCTTTTGCTGTGGACATCACAGCACAATTAAACGATCTCAATTTGAAATTACAAGGTAAAAACAAGCTCACACCTAACTTGTATGACATTAAATGCTTCATTACAAAGTTAAGGTTATGGAAGTCACAAGTCTTAAATGAAAATTTAGTTCATTTTCCTACATGCAAAGAGCCAAAAAAACAGTACTAAGTCTGTACTAAGCTTTGTAAAGTATAAAAGTCACCTGGAATTGTTGTCAACAGAGTTTCAAAAAAGATTGTGATTTTTCATCTTTTGAAGATCCATTTGCACTATTCTCCGCATCATTTACTTTTGCTGTTGCTAAACATTCAAATGGAACTTTTAGAAATGCAGTCAGATTCTTTACTTAGAGCAAAGTATTTTGAGGTAGGAATACCTGATTTCTTTTTATACCTTCCAGAAAAGTTAACAAATCTTAGAAAGTTTGCAACATGAATCTTAGCAATGTTTGGTTCCACCTATTTGTGTGAGCAGTTATTTTCCTTTATGAAATCAACAAAAACTTCTCAGAGAACCAGGTTGACTGATTATCACTTATCTCTTATAGAAGTCAGAACTGCACAGAAATTTCAGCCAGATATACCAAAGATTGTCAAGAACAAGAGGTGTCAAGCCTCGGGACAAAACATGAAAAGTTAGAATGATCAATAATAAATGTTTATTTTGAACTATTATGATTTATGTGCAATTCATTTGCTGTTCATTCAAATACATGTGGGCCATGCATGTTGCCCTATAAATTTTTGTTATATCGAAATAAAGAACAGATTTATATCTCATGCTAATTTTTTAGTTATATTCTTTTGGTTAACTACATGTACTTTGTACTTGTATTCTTGATAACCAAACTATTGCATGTTTCTAAATTAAAAGGAAATGTTCTGTAATAATTTCAATTGAACAACCTTAAATAAAATGTAAATAAATTGTCTCCTTTGGCTCTCATGGGACTGAGTTTGACATGCCTGTCCTAAAGTATCCCCAATCTTAAGATGATAAATCCCAAAAGTTCTTGATAAGCTTTAAAATTGTTTACAACCCAGAAAAAGAGGAAGAAAACAGAATGAGCATGACAAGAGAATCATTTACTGTTAACAAATAAGTTCAACTGTTTCATAAGGGAAAAAAAAAAAAAAAAAAAAAGAGAAAAAGCATTTAATAAACTATAGATAAATAGATGCAGCCATCAAACATGGTAAATACAAAAATAAATAATTCTTACACTGAGTTTTTTCACTCGAAGATTACTTGTTTTTTCTCCCAATACAAAACTGATTGCATCCATCAAGTTGGATTTTCCTGAAATTAAAAGAATAAAAACCAAAATCGTTAGAATCGATACTTTGTAAAATCTGATAGTAACAAAATAAAAAAGTAATCTGCAGTATTCCCTAAGAACATTTTTAGTAATATTAAAACTTTTCCTAATTTCGTTTTCTTAGTTCCAAATAATAACTTGTCAAACATTAATTGCCAACATTTTTCCATGATGATGTGTGCACAACATTAAAACAATGGAAACTTTCTACAGACTAAATAGCATCATTGGGAAGCCGGTATTAATCAGAGCAGTGTGCGAACGATAAAATGAAGACAAGTTGAGAATATCAGGGTAGAAGTAATTTAATGAAAATATTAAGTAATTACAAATTGGGAATGAACAAACAAATTATGCCTATTACAAAAATTAGCCATGTCAACATCCATAGATGTACATTTCAACAGTTGTCCCAATAAAATGCCTACAAATGATTTTCCCCTCCAACAATGAGCAATATTCTTGCTTAAGACCTTATACATAAAAGATTTGTTTTCATAAGAGGAAAATATTAGGATGTTTTATATGCATGATAATTAAGGAAAGAAATTATTCTTTCAATTCCCAAAACAAGATTAAAAATTATTTTTATAACAAAACTACTATTTAACTGTCACAGAGTCATTAAAATTTCATGGTCATTCCTGTAACACACACACACACACACAAATAAATAAATAAATATACTTTTTACACTATTTTACACGATGATTGGAAACAATAAAGTTGCTCGTAGAAGAATATGGGTTGTCCATAGACATTACTCTGATCCCATCAAGCTAGAACTTAGCGGACCCTATGACCCGGGTATCGCAAAGGTGGCTTGAGAGGAGAGTGCGCCTGCGATTTTGGTGTGCCTATGTGCCAGCAGGCAACAGCATCGCAGAACAATACCACCGCAGTGTTAAATGGATTGCAGCCACAATAGGATGCTCAGTTCAAGAAGCTGTGTTGGTAGTGCCCAAAGATGATACGTCTCCGTTGGCTGCACCTGCCAACAGGATCTACAGATATGAGGTCAGGATAAGGAACATCGACCCAGTACCAACGTCACAAAACAGATACCATTTGGGAGACCCTGTGTGGGTCAAAATGCCCCATTATCGATGCACTTCCAGATTCCAAGAAGGAGCAGTGACAGAGGTGATCAGCCCACAATCCGTTGTTGTCGATGGCGTCCCACGCAATATAAAGGACATACGACCCCGGACAAATGTCATCCCGTCTGGCGAAGCAGATGATGAGATGTCCTCATAAAAAGAATACCCGCTCGGCCCGGTGGCTAGGATCAAAGTGTAGTATCTGCGCTTTGTGAGCTGCCGGGTCGGGTGTCTGTCGAACTCTCTGCTTGCAGAGAGGAACCCGGACGAAGCTCCGTCGAAGAGTGGGGTTTCGTTGGGGGAGGTTGACGGAACTAGCCCGCTTGGACGGGTTTAGATGGGTTTTATTTTTGGCTGGGCCTACGGGCTCAGACATACCCACATTAAAAAGGCCTTGTGCCACATTCAATTCCTGTGGGTGAATTGATAAATACCATCTTTGTTGTTATATTAACAGGATCCTTCAGGTGATTGGAATTTCAAATTGAACCCTTTATTTCATCCACATGGCCCAGTGGATGAAAGTGTTGGTTAAAGTAATCCAGTGACCTGATCCAAAGAGTCAAGAGTTCAATATCTGGCTATGACAGAAGTGAACAAAAACTTGTAGAGTTGAGTCACTAAGGGAAATAACTGAAACTGAGATATCCAAGAGAGGCATGGAACATGTTAAGGAACAAATTTTCCACACAGCTGGAATCATGAAATCATTAATCTTAAACGGAATTTTTTTTTTTTTTTTTTTTAAATTCTTTCAAAACTTAATAACTGTCTCTCAGAGTTTGTTAAACATTTTAATAAATATAACAATAACATAACGTAGTTATTTCCATAAAATTTGTTTTTACAAATATTTGTTGTTATTTTTCCTTTTAAGACCCAAAAAAAGAATTAAGAACAAAAATGTTTGCAAAAAAAAAAAAAAAAAAAAAAACTGGTTTGGGTTAATTTGCAGTATAAGCACCAAAAGACCACAGTAATGAAAATATTCCATTATGGTGTGAAACTGCCTGATAATTTTTCAAAAATAATAAAAGTTTGCACTTGATTACCATTTAGGATTTATCAACAATGTAAGTTCAATCTCTTTCGCATTCCCTGACTGCCATTTCTGGCATTGTTTATATACGTTTGCCTCAAGCAGTATGCATGGAAGCTTACTTAGTTAACGGACTTTTTATTATTTTTCATATCTTCGTACTAGTCTTGATTACTGTGCAATTTTCACGAAAGTTATTTTAAAATGCACCTTCTTTTTTTTAAAAAAGAATCTTTAAATGAATAGTTTTTATTTAATTGGTATAAATTCCTTTTTCCAATTAAAAGTATTGTTTTTTTGTAAAAGTGAATATTTATTAAATAATGAATTTTTTTTTTTAATAAATCGGTTTAAATTTCTTATAAAACAATTGAAAGCTTTTCTAAATAAATATAATGTCAACTATTTTTCTTCTTTTTTTTTTAAACCCCTTTTCAGGTATGTAAATTCTATTTTACTTTTAATTGTTGGATTTTAAGGAAACTTTCATGGCACAATTTAACAAAAAAATCATTGAAAATAAAAAAAAACAAAGAAAAAAAAAGAAAAACTTCATTTTCTTATCCTTTCAGGCACATAATTTTATTTTTCATTTTTTTCCATTTTTACTGCTATATTCGGAATCACGCATTCATTTTAAACTTTGCACATTGCATAATAATCAAAACAAGTGAAGCTTTCACACATGACTACTCAAGGGAAACATATGTAAACAAAGCCAGTAATGGCAGTCGTTCTGTCAACAGGACATGAAAGAAGTTGAACTTACATTGTCCATAACTCCTAAATGATAATAGAGCACAAACTTTTAATGTCATTTTTGAAATAATCAAGCAATTTCACACCATAATGGAATATTTTCATTAACATGGGCTTTTGGGGCTTATACTGCAAATTAACCTGGTTTGTTGATTTTCTGAGAATATGTTGGCTAGTCTATTTTTAAATATTTTAAAACTTTTCTAAGAAACTATGTAGCAAATTAGATGAATGTTAGGTCATGGCTCAGTTGTGGCCACTAAGATCCATTGCTAAATTGGAACTGGGGAAGATAGGCACTAAAATCAAAATTGGAAGAGGAGAGAAATAAAGATCAAAGCAATAAGTTTAACAAATTCATTTCCTTTAAGACCTCATACAATTTACAAGTAAAAGATTCTAAACAACTTGTAACCTTGTTATGAATATGAATGAAAAGTAAATGCAATCACGTGTCTACCATACAATTTAGAAATAAAGACCCCCCCCCAAAAAAAAAACACCATTCTATGCTTGACTACCATCACAGTGATTCTCCCAGATTAATAATTGCATCATTTTCAGTGCTTCACCATGATAAAAGAAATTTAAATTTTGGAATACAAATAAGAGCAGATGTCCTCTTCTGGAACAGATTGCCAATAAGGCCATATGGATGCCTGTTACCAGCATAGATGCTGAACATTCATTTTTTCAGTATAAACATTTACTCAACAAACAATGTTAAAGTCTTCACCCCTGAGAACACCAAGCAACTCACAAGATTGTATTACAATGGAGATTTAGAGAAGACATTAGAAGATTAGATATTTCCAAAATTAAGAAATTAGCAATTTTAAATTTGAGCAGTATTTCAACTAGGGACAAGTCGTTTTATTTAAATTTTGAATTAATATGTCTAATTTGTTTTTTGATATTTTGTTACAAAGATACAGTTATTATGGTTTAAGTACTGCTTTGGAAAATTTTAGTCAAAATGTTTGACTTTATTCAGATATTTATTATTGAAATTCAAGTTATTTGCTATTTATACTTTAAATGTAATTTTTATATTATGAATCAATAATTATAAATCAATCTAAATATTTTTAAAAAAAAAAAAAAAAAAAAAAAAAAAGTTTGAATGTGTTCTTAAAGAACAAAAGCTTTGATTAAAAGTTCTACCTCAAAGATTATTATACACTATAACATTCCATTGTTTTATTGTCTAGTCATTTTACATTTTTATTTTTTTTTTTTAACTTTACGTAATTTATTTTTGGACTTGGATTTTAACATCTAAAAAATGATTTGTAGATATTTGCTATTTCTTTATATACAATAAAAAATTTGAATTGTTTCAGTTTTAATAATAATTATAGCATAATGTATTGCAAATTTCTTACAAAATAACATAAAAATGAAATTTCCCAAAAGTAAAAACAGAATCAAGGAAAAGTGGAAATGGAAAATCAAGGGCCCTATACATGGAACTAGAACAATCTAGCCCAGTGTATGAAATAAAGGGTTAGATTCAAAATTCCAACATATATCACCTGAAGATGGCTAGAGCATACAGCCAAAACACCATGAATATGACAACAAAAATGAAGACAACAGTCCAAATAGTATAAGTAGTTACAATACATCTCAGAAATCTAAACTGATATATAAAAAAAAAAAAAAAACCTCTCACAGCATAAAGAGTTTGTTTTTTTTTTTCCCCTCAAAAGCTTTATAAGAGTTAACAGTAATAAAATTTTGAGCAAATTTATCTGCTTTCCACAGCAAAAGGTTTAACCAAATTCTACTGTCAAATATTTTTATACATTTAAAGTAACATGTGACTCCACCACTCAAAGCCTCAAATCAGACACTAATCCAATCACTTTTATTCCTTCTGTGTGCCATGGGCCTTCAGTACATAGGCAATTATGGTTCTCCACAATTTCCAGTCCTTTGTAACTCTTAGTAACTTTGTCTTTTTGTTACCTCTCCTAAACCCTGTTCTGCTATTCAGATTGTTTGGTAGGTTATACTGTTTTCCTCTGCTTCTTGCATTTAATATGTCTAACAAATGTCAAATTCTCCAAGCCCTCTTCCC